TTGAAATATTAGAAAAACTGGTATGAAAAAAGAAAAACAGTCAATCAATGTCGCTGAGGAAACTAAAAGATGGTGTAAACGAATTAAAAAAAGGTTTGAGCATGAAAAGAATAAGTGAAGTGAAATAAAGTTGATGTGGCAGAAATTAAACAGACAAGGCAACGAAAGCTGATGTAACCAGAGTAAGAGAAACAACAGGCACAATATGCTCTGACCTTCAGAAGCTTGAAAGTGTAAATTTGATGGTCTTATAAAGATCTTAACAAGAAGTACCTGAAGGCACTAGACAATGGTTATTTAAAAAAACTCGGTTTTTAACGATAGAAGTGAAGATGCTTCCGTATGAACGATTTGATTGCCGGTCCTGGCGTTGGCAAAAGTGTGTTTGCTGCTGAGGTGTGTCGACGATATTCTGAAAAGAAAAACTTGCTGCTTTCATTTCTGCAGATATATATCAGATGGTAGAAATTCTCGATTGTTGATAGAATCATTGGCTAGTAGCATGTGTGATACAATATCAAATTTTAAATCTAAACTAAATGAAGAATTACAGAGAAACCACTTAAAAGAATCAATCGCTGATACATTCCGTGTTTTATTAAATAATCCATTGCATTCAATGGAAGATCATGAACCAATGCTTTTGGTTATTGATGCCTTAGATGAAAGCCAAGTTGATGGGAAAAGTGAATTGTTGGAATTGATTGCAGAAGAGTTTGACCGACTGCCTAAATGGATTAAAATCTTCATCACCAGTCGTCCAGAACTTCCTGTTCAAAAGGAGTTGAAACACATAAATCCTGTGGAAATTACAACTCGTCCTCGTGATAAAAACAACGAAAAAGACCTGCACAAGTATTTGAGACATGAGTTGAATAATCGGGTGCAGGAAGATCGCTACGTTCTATTGTCATTAGTTGAAAAATGTGAGGGATCATTTCTTTATGCGTATTACGCGCAACTGAGCTTGAAAGAAGAAAATATTGAGCTTACTTACGAAAACATTCAACAATTAGCCCCTAGTGGTTTAATCGGTGTTTACGCAAAGCAATTCAAAAGAGTAAAAAAATTATTAACGAAGGAAAGTCCCAGAAATTCTGTTATCTCAGAAACTTCTTTTATGCAATTTCTTGAATTGTTGGCTGCCTGTCGGCAGTTTTTACCGTTAACTTTACTGTTTAGCTATTTAGGTTTTTCTGGTGACATCAAGTTTGAAGTCCGCAGTAAAATCATTGAACTGTTATCTCAAATTTTGCCAGTTTACGATGATTGTTTAACCGTGTATCACCAATCTGTAATTGATTGGTTGAAATCAGATGGCTACGAACAGGATGAGTTTACAGTTAATCCAAAAAATGGTCATAAGTTCTTATGGCAGGCTTGTGAGAAAGTGTTTAAACAAATTAAGTGGATGAACATTTTTAGAGATCAGATGAACACTGCTATGATTCAATATGCTTTGAAGAATGGAATCTATCATATGTCAAAATGTGGCGAAAATGTTGACTTTTGCTGGGCAGTTGAAATCAAAGTGATTTTTGCGAGGTTAATGTGTGTGGAAGACATTAACGCGGATACCATTAGGTCTGAATTGCTTGAAATCATTAAGGAACGACGTACTTTCTTGAAAAAAGATGTACTTGAGGAACTACTATTTCATTTGTTTATGACAATGAGATATGACTCATCGTTACCCGATGGCTTAGCTTATTTACAAATTATTGCAAACGGAATTGATAGCAAAAACGAAAGAAGATTATTGGCAAGGGATGTATTAAAACAAGGAGAGTTTTTTTGGTTTGAGGATCTAGACTCAACGTATTTAACAAACCATCATCATTTGACTGTCTCCTTGCGTGCTAACGTTACATCTCTTTGTGTGTCGTCCAATGAAGAACTTCTTGCTGTAGGATATGAAAATGGTGAAATATCTATTTTTGAACTTCCAGACTTCAAACAACGATGCACTCTCGGCACTGCATTCGATGATTCAAGGTTGGATAAGTGGGATGATAAAAACAAAATTATCTCCCTGTATGACAACTGTGGCTATCCAACATTAAAGAACTTTGGTTTTGGACGTGGAAATATCTGTTGTTGCTCCTTTTCACCTACCGGAAATAGACTGGTAACTAGTGATGGATCTACTGAAGTAAAGTTGTGGGATGTTAACAATGGACGTTTGTTATTATGTTTACAGTCAGATGCTGTCGTTAATCGTTGCTCTCTGGTTTGTTTATTACAGCAAGATATAGAACATTACAATGAACTTCCTAAAGATGTGTTCACTGCATGGAATTCATTAACTTTGCAAAGAATCGATCGACGCTGCGTTGTTGATTACCAAGAACTACAATGCACCGATAAATATTCAGAGTTGTTTAGTGCAGAATTCGTCGAGACTTCGTATGTTTTTCAATTTCCGAAAGCAATCAATATTTTTTCTGATGAAGATTCCACTATTTGCAAATTCAAATATAACACACAATTATCGTGATTGTATTTTTTATCATACAAGCCAGAATGGAAAGCTTTCTGAAATCACTCAGTTGACAAAATACAACGAGCAAGGAGAAATCGAGTTTTGTTTACCATATGTTAGGTGTCCATGTGTTGATAGGACTCTTAACGAAGTCCATCCAATCTCGTTTAAGGAATTTTACGTTGTGCCGTATCTTTCCAAGCTTAAAATTTTCAAAACTGATCATCTTTGGAGACCTTCAGTTATCTTTGAGAAACTGAAAATTAAATGTTGTTGTTTTCACCGGATGGATCTTTTGGCTGCTTTCGCTGTTGGTGACCACGTCAACATTCATATTTGGAGCATTGAACGTTGCACTATCATTCAAACTGTACCAATGCAACTGAACAATGCATTAGGATGTTGGTGGTCAGATGGTTTACTGTGGATATGGGATGGTTCAGATCATCTTACGAAGATATCAACTTCATCTGAAAATTTTGTAGATTCTACTCAAGCAAACAATTAACATTGGATTTGAACCAAAAAATCTTAACATTTGGTGATGTCTTAGTTTGTATTGACGAACTAGATTTTGTTCAAGTTGTTAGAATTACCAAGGGTGCGATACAATACAACAAAAGACTTCCTGTTGATAGTTTTCAAAGAAAGCAGCAGCTGTATCACGATAATTCTGTTATTTTAACTGTAAACAAAACAGAATGCACATTATGGAAATGGGGAAATAACAACAATGAACTTTACTTGAAACCTTGGCATATTGCAGAAATACCCATAACAGCTGTCATTGAAAAAATTGTTGAAGAACAGATAACTGTAAATGATCTGGAGTTCAATTGCTGTATAAGTGATTGTAACCAAGCGGTCATTGGGCGACAATTTCGACCAGAACTGGCGTTTATGTAATTAATATGCATAAAACAATGACGTGATTGCGTATCGTGGTTTACATGGTTTAGGACTATCGTACATAAATCATATTTCATTGGTGAATCTTTTGGCTCATTCGTTGCTGTAGATTTAAAGTGGTGAAATGTTGCAGAATTTTCGGATTAGATTCTGTATTTAGTATAACTATGCATTACAACACAGGAACTTTAGCTTTAGTAACATATGGTGGATGTGGAATTAAATTTTAAAACTCAATGTACCTGAATAAATCCACTAACTTTCTTTAAGTTATATTAATCTATCGTTTTACTAACCTTACATATCACTTAAAACTAACATAAAAGTTCTTTCGCAAAGAAAAGGACAGTTTTTATGGTGTCAATAACGAAAATTAAAAATAGTGTAAAAACATTGTTCATGTCCTTTGTTTTAACTATAAAAAACTGTCAGTTTTCAGCTATGTAAAAATATCACGGACAGAGACAGATTAACTTTTTGTAATGTCAAGTAAAGGCCTTTTTCATCCTATGATTTCCATCGACTTTCAAACTTATATTTGGAGAATTCAACACTGTAACATTGTAACATGGTCGCTTGTTTTACATGTGAAAATTACCAAAAGTGAGAAACCTTTGATCTCTGAAGGAACTTTATGTTGATGGTTTACTTTGTAATAGAAATGTATGGTCAGATAATTTGGTTATTTTTATTATATATTAAACGTTCACTACATAGAAATGAAAGAATGTCGACAACTCATTCATTGTGAGTCATTTGACAATATGGTGTTGTTGTAAATGAAGATTATTTTGTTTAAATTGTAGTGACTTTCTTTGAACATTCTTTCAAAAACTGTAAATAAAATTTACCTTACGCATGTTAAAATCGTAGAAACAACTTTTGTATGATGTTAAAAATTCAGATTTATAAAACACCATCATGATGTCATGGAATGTCATTAAGTGTGATGATCATTAGTTGAAAAATGCGAGAGATCATTTCTGTACGTTTATTATGTACATATGATCCTAAAGACAAAAAATGTTATATGCTGTCAACAATTCCCATTTGTAAAAACATCATCATGTCAATAACTGTGATGAAAATTAATGATTAAAACTTTTACGATTTTGACACAAGTTCATTTGAACTGAAGAATTGAATTTTTTTGAGTGAAATTTCTTTAATTAAAATATTGAAGAATTATAAACTTCACTTTCTATTTCATTTTAAAATAAAATTTATCATTATAATGTTGATAATAATACAACGTACAATATATATTGTTCTAACTTATAACTATTGTACACAAAGAACGTTTTACTGATAATTTTGAAGATCCATGTGCTTTAAACAATGTAACAGATTTTTCAGGTTCTAAGTTTGGGTCATCTTATAAAAAACAGGTACATTATAGCGTACATTTTGTTGTCTTTTACTGATTAGTAAACAACTAAGTTAAACAATGGAGTTTTTCAAAATAAACATGTTTCAGCATCACGTGATGTGATCTTCAGTATTAGTGACAGTATTATGTATATGATACAACATATGTGGTAGTAATGTGATACAGTGATAGTTTATTTAAATATATGTAAATTATATACAGTAAATATACATGAATTAATGGTGATTGTGTTTACAAGGGCTTCTTTAATTCAAAATTTTAAAATCTTAGTTTTTAAGTTATTCTAATTTTACAAAAGGGAAGGGATAACTAAAGACAGAGTAATAAAATTAGGGAAACCTCTCGAGCAGGTGCAAACCTCAACCTTTGGTCTCCGGCTTACACTGATCTGCTTTTGAGTTCTCCCAAAGTTCTCCTCGGTTTGCATAAGCCTGTGCAAAAACATGAAACATCTTTTATTTCTTAAATGCATGATCATGTTACATTGAGGCTTTATTTGACAAAATTTAAGACTTTGGCTGCGTTTACACTATATACCAGATTTGCTCATCAAGATATCTTCATTTGGTTTCAAGAGGTAACAGTTTGGAGTAAATGCTTATTAATTTGATAGATTTTAGTCAATTCAATTTTAGTTCACAAGTATAAAGTTCGATGTTTGAAACGAGCCTAAAAATTTTGTTCCAAGACGTTAGAGGATTAATTATTGTAAGTTTCAAAGGTCATATGCACCTCGAGTCGATAAAAATAAAAAATTTTATCATGACGTCAATTTCAAAAGTGTTAAAGTATTCAAATTCGTTGTGTGTTTACTTTAAGCTCAGTCAAGTCGCTTTAACTTTATTAAGATAAAATGTAAGTACTGTGTATTTACTGGCGAAGTAAGAAATACTTTAGAAGAAATTAACAGGTTTTGTTAAAACCTTCGTAATGTAAAAGGATTTTACTATTCGCGACTAAAAGGTAAAATTTAGAGTGAGAAATATGTTCAGAAAGGATGTCCATGACGTCTACTGTATTGGTTAATTATTGAGGTTACACCACAAATGGAATGATAAAGTTATTAAAAGAACATTGTATAACATAGATGAACATTTATAAAGTAAATGGTTTGAACCCGGGAGTATCGTTATATGTTTGTAAATGATGATCGTCCAGGTTAATAAAGTCCTGAGAAGGACTGTTACACACGGCGTCCAGCGGTGTTACTAATTCACCCACAGCATTCACCGCAAACAATAAGACATCTTATGATATAACCTCAGGTTTGCTTATAACATTGTTGTGACGCTCATAGAAAATGTCAAATAACGTTGGTGCTTTTCTTGTATTTCTATGAAGGTCGGATGCCTGTTGCCCCTGACTCGAGAAAAGCAGCTGGCTCACAGGAAGCCATTGGGGAGACCGCTGCACAAAGTGTTGTCGTTGCAGTTGACAGGTAACGTTTACTTTAATGATAGCTATGTGGATTGTGTTTTGTGACCTATCTCCCACCCCAGGGGCGAAGCTAGATTGTTAATGCAGGGGGAGAGGTGAATATTCATATATATGGTATTATATTATGGTATTAACTAATGTCTTTTCAAATTAAATAAAGTCAAGCAAAACTAAATATATGAATATTCACCCCTCCCATCCAGCGTTCCGGCTTCACCTCTGCCCCTCTCCCAGGAATCTTTAAAATTGTCTTTAAGCTAGAGTGGGGCTTGTAACAGCAAGAAATATCGATGGATGATTCTCTATGTAGACATGTTCATTGTCCATGTTAGCAGAGTCCTGAGAATGACTGTTATTGTTATTGTTGACTGACGTTTTGACATCCTTAGCGTTAGTAATCTTCAGGCTCAAGTGAACCAGAGAACCTTGAACATATGCATGAAAATTTTGAAGAACTCGTGCACTGTCCATACGTTATGTTCTCTCAGCAGAATATCATCATCTCAACTTCTTCATTGTGTTTTTATTAGAGTTTTCACGGGATCAGTGAAACTGGATGGTGATGCTATTGGTAGGTTTGCATGTATACATTAAACTGCATCTTACATATGATTTTTATACATCTAACTTGACCATAATTCACTGACCATTCTTTATCTCAAGTATCCAAATCTCCAATACCCGAAATCCCAAGTACCCAAATTTCTAGTACATAAATCCCCTGTTCCCAAATACCAAATCCCAAGAATCCAAATCCCCTGTATCCGAATCCCCATTTCTCAAATACCAAATATCGTTACCTCCTGTATCTATGAACTTGGCAACAAGGACTGCAATTTCCAGTCTACGATTTGCTTGAATCAACAACTGGATTTTTCACATTTTAGTTCTTCCACAATTCGTGATATGGTCGTAAGATGTGTCACACAAATGGTGCATTCGCAAGCCGCAAACATCAAATCTGGTTGGAAAAATGTTTTCTCCGTTTTTCATTTGGCTGCGTCCGATCATGATGAAGGAATCGTGGAACTCGCTTTTCAAACAACAGGTTTGTAGTTTAATAAAGGAGGTTTTTCTTCTAATCTTACTGCTGACCTGTCTGTTGTGCTCTTGGGTAAGGTTCTTGTATCGGTGTAAATTTTAAAATGAAAATGGTTGCATATGTTTGAAGAAATGATGGTGAATCCGTTTCCAAGCTTGGACTACTTAGACATTTATAAAATATTAAAATAAATTCAAATTGAATTTGAATATCGTTTAAGTAAATGTGTTTCTCGGATGTGACAGAGAACTTCGTTTATTTTGCAACAAAAATTTTATGTGTTCGTTCTTTTCCATGGTAATTCAGTCATATTCGTATAAGTTTTCGAGGTAAACTTTTCTTTACCATAAAGTCGATGGATGTTCGCCTCATGATGCATGAATGAAAATTAAACCAGATTTAATGGAGAAATGAAATAAATGTATGAAACATTTTTTAGTTGATTTAAATTACAAGTCAAAAGGCAGAGATTTTTAAACTTTTCTAGCCCTGTTTCTCTACTGTTTCAATGGCACTTGTAAATCAAAGCTTTGACAGATTCATTTTCTCTTTTAGCCACGATTTTTGAGAAATATTTCTCCGCGACCATCGACTCTTTCCAAGATGCCGTCAAGTGTCTCTCGGAATTCGCATGCAACGCAAGTTTCCCGGACACGAGTATGGAAGCAATAAGACTGATACGAAATTGCGCCAAATTTGTTTCCGAAAATCCTGTGGTACGACAATTGCAAATCTACTTTCTTTTCAACTTTGAAATGATTTAAAATTTTGCAAAATCACATCAAAGCTAACCACTTTGGATCAAATCAAATCCAAATCATCTATTTCAATCGCTTTTCGTGTAGCATTTTCCAATGGCGTCTGTTTTCTTTTCTTTTATAAACAGATGTTTAAAGACTACGGAGTAGAGGATGCTGGGATATCAGAGCAGGACAGAATCTGGGTGAAAGGCTGGTTTCCAGTCCTTTTTGAGCTTTCGTGTATCATCAACCGATGTAAACTAGATGTCAGAACAAGGTATGGTGGAAATATTGAGTTGTATGTACTGTATAGATTAGTATGTATTGTATAATTTGAATGTGAGCTATTTTCCATCCATCAACTAGAGGCCTAACCGTGATGTTTGAAATCATGAAAACATACGGGAACACGTTTCTCCAACATTGGTGGCGTGATGTGTTTAAAGTCGTGTTTCGAATTTTCGACAACATGAAACTACCAGACAGACAGATAGATTGGCAGGAGGTTAGAAAACTGTCATTATTGTGCTCTTAATATATGGCAAGCGTCACTTCCGGCTAAATGGCGCGCTTTGATTGGCTAAGAAACAATTTTGCTGGTCCATTATTCTCCCGTAATCGACCACGGTTCAAAACACGTAGTTTATAATGTGTCGTTATTGTAGTCTTATTGTCTATGATTGCCAGAAACACACATTATATCGCAAAAAGTCAACTTACATACACGACTATCCAGTTCCACGTGGAATAATATTCATTTTATGTGTTCACGTCTATCCACCTTCATTCCTCATTCTCTCATCCATTTCAATTGTGTATCCACTCCATTGAACTAAAATACATGGAACGCTACCTGTAATAGAAAACCGTAGTATTTTTGAAGCAAATTTTACACCCAGACACGCATGTGTAGTTCAATCAATTTTCACTCCGCGAGAGAATTTCGAAACACTAAACACGCGTGTCTGGGTGTAAGATTTGGCTTCAATTATTTGCTTCATGTAGCGTTCCATGTATTTTAGTTCAATGATCCCCTCATATCTTCCTCTATTTCTTATTCACTTCTATCCACTTTCATTCTAGAGTCGCTTCATTCTGTATATCTACTCGTATTCACTTCATTCTCTATCCATTCTTATCCTCTTGCATTCCCTATTCACACACCGATTGCATTTTGTGTAAACGATTTGTACCAGTATGGAAGGTTTGAAACACTCGTTTGTGAAAGTTACCCACCTGTAAAGAATGCTTTTGCCTTTAAATCAGGAGGGAGTAATGTTAAACTGCGGAAGGTCGTTTCCTTTACATAGAATAAAGTCCGTGTATAAGGTGTTGTATTTCCTCGTTATAAAATGAGACATCAGCTGAGGATGTTTTGAAATTTGTGATGTTCTTTATAGAAATCAGAATGGATGACAACAACTTGTAATCACGCTCTATATGCTATCATCGATGTTTTACTCAGTATTTTGATATTCTTGCTGAAATTCTTCTTGATGATATGTATGGCCATCTAGAGTGGTGTGTCAAACAAGGTAAGCTTGAGATTACGCAAGGTGTTTGTGTTAGGCATTTGCCTTGGTGATTGGTTCGTTGTGTCAGAGTTTGTGATTGGTTTGAAATATCAGAGTTAGTGATTGGTTTGAATATGAGAGTTTGTGATTGATTTGTTTTGAGGTACATTAGTATACAAGAAGTATCAGAGTTTCTTACAGGTTCGACTGTAAATGCTTTGTAACACCATGTCCTGCTTTGCTCGTTCATTCAATACATGTCTTTAGATAACGAGCAGTTAGCGAGGTCTGGTACCAATTGTTTGGAAAATCTCGTCATATCCAATGGCAACACGTTCTCCGAAGACGTCTGGGAAAAGACATGTCAATGTGTAAAGACGATATTTGAATCAACCGTACCTCACGAACTATTGAAATGGAGACCCGCTGACCAACAAGTAATGAGTCTACCCACACTGGATGTCACTCCTGCGTCATCATCACTCAAGGTAAGTTACACTTTGGGCCTGATTATATGGAGGGGAGTTAGCCCGGATAGCGAGCTAGCCCCGATGATTTCAAGGGATTGAAAAGAGCCAAAACTTCAAGGTTAAAAATTACAAATGTTTGCGAAGCGCCACACGTCATTCCGGTTGTAATTCTCAAATTATGGCAAATTGGTTGTTTTAATTTTAAATGTTTTGCGTAGTTATTAAATCAGAATATTGTGAATTTGCTATCGAAGATTTATCTGATAATAAGTATTGAATCGTTTCCATTTGCCAAAATGATTTAACATTTGGTTAATCCCGGCTACCGGGATCATGTAATCCGCCCTTTTGTATTTTTTATGATCTCTTAAAGCCCGACAGTCTAAAATTATAGACAAATTTTCAAAACTATTCTGTTTGTTTTATGTATTTATTACCCTTAAAATTGACGTATATTGTAGATAATGTCACCTGTCGACCTGGAGGATGATATCGTGCCCAAATATCCGGAAGGTAAATAAAAGTTTGTGAATTCTTTTAAAGGAATTTTTCTTCAATTGTCTCCATAATTATAAGATTGGAAAATATTTCATGGTAAGCTAAAGCTCGCATAATAAAAAAGCTCATTTGAACCAAAAGCTCATATGAAGCAAAAGTTCGCATATTGCAATATAGCTCGTGTGAATCTTTAACTCGTATGGACCAACAACTTGCATTCTTTGAGTAACAAGTGAAAATTTTCCGTATTATTTTTAGACGAGGACGAACAAGATGGTCAGCAATCGTCAAAAGGTTCGAATGAAACGGAGGAGGAAATGCCTCAAGAAACAGTTGAAGAAACCAAAGAACAAGACAGCATTAGTTTACATAGTACGCCTAGTTTACGATTTGAACCTGTCGAAGAACACGAACCAGGTAACTATGTGTTAGAAATCAATTGAGATTAATAATTTGTTGTCACAGCCTGCTGCCATTTACGTGTTTAATTTACTTTGGTTTATTGGAAAGGCGTAGCAAAACGTATAATTGATATATGCGTTTGAAAAACTCAATCTGAAGTGAACAGCGACGTCATGTAACATTTCCTGAAACTGTTTATGTTCTAAAATATTACATATTTTGCAATGTTTGAAACAATAATGTTGTTAATTGTTACTAATAGAACTAATCATGTTTCTAATTAGCACTGTTTGAACTAATAATTTTGCTAATTGTTATTAATTGAACTAATAATGTTACTAATTAGTTCTCCTGTTAACATTTATTTTTCATAAGACATTGCACTGACTTTAGAAACTCATTTTTTTTATGTTTTTGCATTCGTTGCTTATTTTGTTTTATTTTAAAAGACCTCTAATAAGATAAATTAGCCCTTTGTGTGGGATATTCAAAAGTTCGATTTTTACCGACAAATGAAAAAATCGTCTGAGCCTGAATACGGAAATGTTCAACCAACACCCGAGTGACAGTTTTTAATTTTTTCATGTATGTACTTTAACGTCGTAAAATCATCTCATTATTTTAGTTGTGCTGACGGAGAGGATGCTGTTCAATTCATTGATCATTAAGTGTGTCGTTCAATTGGAACTTATCCAAATGATCGACAATGTCGTCTTTTTCCCAAGCACCGGCAAGTGAGAAGATGAAGATACTATGGCTGAATTACAGGTCAGTTGTAATTACGGTCATTGTAGGCAATACTGAGATAAATGCTTTGTTGTAATGTTGTTATACCAGAGTTCCCTTGGTGGCATAACAAAGTTCTTAGCTGAAGCACAGAATATGTAATATACAGAAAAGACACTTGGCATCTTTAGTTGTTAGGAATAAATTTAATCAATGAAAAGTTTGTCAAAATAATGTGCCAGGATTGTCACCATTGCACTTGACTGTATACAAGTAAGTTGTTTTGTTTGATGTGTTAGGACACTTGGAGTCTTTAGTTGTAAGAAATAGATTTAATCTCGGAAACATTGTCATTGCGTTGTCTCTAAGCCATTACAATTGGATAGCACAAAATAAAGTTGCTACAGAACATTTTTTTGTTACTTTCCTCCTAAATTCCTCCCAGAATAATCTAGAGGATCCATACTTCAAAAAATTTGTCATTATTGCTATCCTTATCTATCCACAGTACTTACTCATCTCCAATCCTCCAAGTTCCCATGTTTTTTTTCACCAAAATCCTTTGTCCCTCCATATGTCTATCTAGGTCATGTATTTATCTTATATAAAGTTCTATATTTTATATTCTTTCTTCTTAGAAACTCATTGCTTATGGTCATATTGTTGGTGATACACCAGACTCCATTGAACCAGAGAGGCGTTTAATTGACAGAATTATCGAGACTATTTGTAGTTGCTTTACTGGTATAATTACTGATGTAAACGTTCAAATACAAATTATAAAATGTTTATAAAAGTATACTCAAACTGTTATAGTATTTAATGAGGGAAATGATATTTCCTTGAGGAATTTAAAGAGGGTAATGACATATGTATCGCTATGTTTTTACATTTTTTGTCTAATTTTTTTCTATTTTTAATACACCTACACCAGGTATAACATAGAGTTCACAAAAATATTCTCGTACTATATTGAACTTGCAGGAACGATGTCTCTTTCAAGGGAAAGAGCTATTTGTTATATAAATATAAGAAAAATATGCTAGGAAGACAATTTGATCTTTTATAAAAACAGAACATTAATTTAATTTTTAAAGCCTTTATTAAACTTTCTATTTTATGAAGTTATTATAAATTACTTACAAAAATCATCACAGAAAAGAGTATCCAACCATGTATCAAAACCGTATGAGGTACACACCCATATTTTTTCAAGGAGTTTAATGAAGTTAATCATTTATTGAATCTAAAGGTTTTGTCAAATTTTCGAAGATTCTTTACAATACGACAATAAGAAATTGAAGGTCTGTTATGCCGATCGGTGCTTAGTACCTATTACATCAATACATCTCTTGATCTTTGACCCTGGAATTTCGGAAAAAGAGTTTGGCCATTTCCATTTGGACAATTATTGGTTTTTATTCTCTTCAAAATTTTTTTAAAATTTATACTGTAGCCTGTTGCACGAAGCGTGGATAGCGTTATCCATTGGATAGTAGTTTTTTAAATTTGTGAATGTGCATGGTTATATTTTGTTTATGATGATGAAACTTTGTAATTCTAGAACCAATATTGTATTTCATTTATTGTTCAGTTCGAATCGTTGACTTTTTCCTTTTAAGATATTTTTGAAGCGCTCAAAACGTTGCTACTCAGTTTAATGGATAGCGTTATTCGACCTTCGTGTAACTGATCTCTTTGGTAATTTATCGTAAAGTTTCTGTAAAATATAAATCTGGTGAGAACCATATATGGACAATGAACATGATTATTGTCTACTTTTCAGCTGTATCCAGTTACAAGTGCGGAAGTGAATCAGAATGATCTCTTGATGAGCCCATCCCTTGCATTTGAATGATGTGTACATTACAATACGATTAAAGACAAAATTGAAGAAATATTTCAATATAAAACTGTGACTCTACGTTGTGGAACGAAATAATAAGTGTGGAAATGAAGAAATAGTCGTTTTGATCATATTTGGTGAGTAAAATTGTAAAACATTGATTTTAAAGCCGTATTGTTTAGCTACTTTTTATCGCTATTGTATCAAAGGTTTGACTAAATGGCAGAATACTCGTTCACTTGGATTCATTGACTGTGCATGCACATTTTCAGTAGATACACAGATACACAAAGCATATATTATGCCGTATATAAGACGATTCTAACCTCTGAGAAAAGAAAAATCAACGTCAAACGAAACTATAAGATAAATAGCGCTACATCTATTGGACAATACGATAATATATATTAGTATATCAAATTGCGTTTCATCATATAAACACAAATGATCTGTTTACCAATCAAAACGATATATTTTAATATTTAAATCAACCACAAACGATTTGCATCAATTATACATTACCACATTGATATGTAATTATAGATTTATAGTGCCATTGTCGCACAACCTAAGCGTTCTGTTGTGCGGGATGCTAAATCACGATTCTTTTGACGACTAGCGTTGGTTCATTACCACGAGTATTAAAATCAAAAATGCGTATCTAATTTGTCTTTTCAAGACTTCAACTCAATGCGTTACCATGCATTAATCAAATGCGTCGATAAATGCGACCATCAAAAATGCGTATTGAAACAACCAGAAACAGCGTTTGCAGCCTCTATATATACTAAACATTCAACAAGATATAATTACAAAGTTTCCTCTTTGCCACGATTGGAAAGAAGGTCTTCCTCAGCAACTCAATGCTTTAAACTTCCATGACAAATGCATGTGCGTAATTTAACGTAAATAGTTCCCATTTTACCATGCTCTTACTTCTTTAGTAATGTTCGCTTACAGAAAGAGAAAGATACTTCACTTGTTTTGATTATTTATGAAAATTTCCTCCCGTATACTATTTTATACTGATAAGTTTTACATCGTCCATATTATTATTGATAAATTTATAAAATTTACGACAAGCCAGGTCACGTTGCAAGAAAAACTGTCTGTTGCTCATTTCTTTTGCTGTTTTCAGTTTTCAATTTTATGAGCACAAAAGGTTAAAGCCACAAAGAATTCAACATAATTTATGTATTTTTAATGATCCTTTTATTCGTTTGAAAATGACTGACACAAGTAGTACCAACTATTATCTGACTCTAGCTGCTGATCTTTGGTTTGGAAACTCAAACTTTGACAAAAAATGGCCATTTGGATCGATATTTGGATAAATTTTGGCCTATTTTCTATTCTAATTATTTTCGGAATCACATTGGTAATTTATTATAAAAGTCTATGTTAAAAACATAAATCTGGTGAGAACCATCTATGGACAATGAACATGATCGTTAACTACATTTCAGCTGTATCCAGATACAAGGAAGTGAATAAAAATGATCTTGTGATGAGCCCGTCTTTTACATTTGAATACACACGTCTACACTACAATACAACGAAAGACATAAATGAAGAAATATTTCATTATAAAACTGTGAATTTACGTTGTGGAACGAAGGAATGAGTGTTGAAATGTAGAAATAGTCGTTTTGGGTCATATTTGGTGAGTAAAATTCTATAAAACATTAATTTTAAAACATTATTATTTAGCTACTCTTTATATTTTATCACAGATTTTACTAACGTTTTGTATTTGAACTTTGAAATAAGTTTTTCAGTTGGCCGTTGATTTATTTAATTTTAAAGTATTGTAACTTATTTAGGTACCATTATTTTTCTTGGTTTTTAGTTTCAAGTTCAAATAAAGGCTTCATCATTAAAACCAAAGATTCTTCATTAAAGTTAGTCAGAGTATTCACAACATTATATTCTAAACAGGTTTCTTGTTTGAAAATGACTTCACCACCTCAAAAACTGAACATTGAGGCAAATGGATCTCGTTTAAGTAAAATTATGATAAATAAAGGAACCCAAGCTTTGAAAACAACATTGCAATTTAGTTTTAACTTTCGATCATCAAGTTTGATCAATGAACTTAAAGATCTTTCAACAATGAACAAATTGACTTTGCTTAAAAACAAAAGGGTCATCAGCAAAGAGCAATGGGAGCTTCTTTACCCATCAAATGGCTCATCACCTGACATTGAAAACTTTGACATCTCATTATTGACTGTCTTATTGAGAAATATTTGTGGTCTAACAGCGCCATCTGGTGGATGGGATAATCTTCCTTCCTCTTCAGATACTTCAATATCAGCAAATATTGCAAGAATAAAGTTTTATCGAAACAAAGTGTATGGTCACATAACTACAACTAGTGTAGATGACAGTGAGTTTGAGCATTTGTGGCAGGAAATTTCAAAAGCATTGGTTGGTCTGGGTATTCAACAAACTGATATAGATGAAGCAAAGAAAGCTCCCCTCAGTCCTGATGAGGCAAACCATATTGAAATATTGAAAAACTGGTATGAAAAAGAACAACAGTTAATCAATGTCGGTGAGAAAACCAACGAAAATGTAAAAGAATTAAAAAAAGATTTTGAAGCTATGAAAAATAAAGTTGAAGAAATTAAAGAAAACATGCCAACAAAAGCTGATGTAGAAATGTTACAGGGAAAAACATGTTCAAATCTCCAGAAGCTTGCAAAGTGTAATTTCAATGGTCTTATAGAAGATCTTAACAATATATACCTTGAAAGCACTAGACAATGGTTATTTGAAAAACTCGACACTTGGTTTAACGATAGAAGTGAAGATTCTTCTAATGTCATGATTTTGATTGCCGGTCCTGGCGTTGGTAAAAGTGTGTTTGCTGCTGAGGTGTGTCGACGATATTCTGAAAAGAAGAAACTTGCTGCTTCTCATTTTTGCAGGTATAATAGATCAGATGAGAGGAATCCTCGAATGTTATTAGAATCATTGGCTAGTAGCATCTGTGATACAATATTAGATTTTAAAAGTAAACTGAATGAAGAATTACAGAGAAACCATTCCTACGAATCATTCACCGATGCATTCCGTGTTTTATTAAATAATCCATTGCATTCATTGGAAGATCATAAACTAATGCTTTTGGTTATTGATGCCTTAGATGAAAGTCAAGTTGACGGCAAAAGTGAATTGTTGGAATTGATCGCAGAAGAGTTTGACCGACTGCCTAAATGGATTAAAATCTTCATCTCCAGTCGTCCAGAACTTCCTGTTCAAAAGGAGTTGAAACACATAAATCCTGTGGAAATTACAACTCGTCCTCGTGATAAAAACAACGAAGAAGACCTGCACAAGTATTTCAGACATCAGTTGAATGATCAGGTGCAGGAAGATCCCTACGTTCTATTTTCATTAGTTGAAAAATGTGAGGGGTCATTTCTTTACGCTTATCACGCACAACTGAGCATAAAGAAAAAAGAAATGGACTTACAGACGAGAATATTAAAAAATCTGTTCCTACTGGGTTGAATATATTTTACACAGCACAATTCAAGAGATTAAATAAATTATTGAAAGAAATAATTTTATCAACACTCGATATCATTATTTCCGATAAAAACTTTACGGAATGTCTTGAAGTGTTGGTGACTTATCAAAGTATTTTGCCTTTGTCTTTTCTTTTTCAATGTTTAGGTTTTCTGATGACATGAAGTTTAAAGATCGTAGTAAAATACTTGAAGTGTTTCTCAAATTCTCCCAGTTTACGATGATTATTTGACCGTGTATCACAAGTCTCTAATTGATTGGTTAAAATCAGATGGTTACGAACAGCATGAATTTACAGTTAATCCAAAAAATGGTCATAAGTTCTTATGGCATGCTTGTGAGAAAGTGTTTGAACACATCAAGTCGATGAACATTTTTAAAGATCAGATGAACACTGCTATGATTAAATATGCTTTGAAGAATGGAGTCCACCATATGATAGAATGTGGCGAAAATGTTGACGTTAGTTGGGCAGTAGATGTCAAAGTGGTTTGTGCGAGGTTAAATGAAGACATTTCCATGTATGCCATTAGGTCTGAATTGTGTAAAATCATTAAGGAACTACGAACTTTTTTGAGAAAAGATATACTTGAGAAACTACTATTTCATTTGTTTATGACGTTACTGACAATGAAGAATAAGTCATATTTGTCAAGGTTAGATGATAGCTTAATTTTTTTACAAATTATTGCAAACAAAATTTATGACAGTAACGAAAAAAGGATATTGGCAAGGGATTTATTGAGACAAGGAAAGTTTGTTTGGTTTGAGGATTTAGACTCAACATATTTAACAAACCGTCATCATTTCACTGTCTCCTTGCGTGCTAACGTCACATCTCTTTGTGTGTCGTCCAATAAAGAACTTCTCGCTGTAGGATATGAAAATGGTCAAATATCTATTTTTGAACTTCCTGAATTCGAACAGCGATGCACTCTCGGCACTGCACTCGATGATTCAAGGCTGGATAAGTGGATTGGTGTACACGAATTTATGTCCCTGTGTAACAACTATGACTGTTCAAGATTAAACAAATCTGGTTTTGTACGTGGACACATCTGTTGTTGCTCCTTTTCGCCTACCGGAAATAGACTGGTAACTAGTGATGGATCTACTGAAGTAAAGTTGTGGGACGTTAACAATGGACGTTTGTTATCATGTTTACAGTCAGATGATGTCGTTAATCATTGCTCTTTCTTAGATTCTGGTTTGTTTATTACAGCAGATATGTAGGAGATGAGAATATTCTAAAGATGTGTTCACTGCATGGAATTCATTAACTTTGCAAAGAATCGATCGACGCTGCGTTGTTGATTACCAAAACTACAATGCACCGATAAATATTCAGAGTTCTTTGTTGCAGAAATCATCAAGACTTCGTATGTTTTTCAATTCCCAAAGGCAATCGATATTTTTTCAAGTAAAAACAAATATCCACTACCTTTACATTTAATGATAACACACCATTATCGTGATTGTATTTTTTATCATACAAACCAGAATGGAAAGTTTTCTGAAATCACTCAGTTGACAAAATACAACGATCAAGGAGAAATCGAGTTTTGTTTACCAAATGTTAGTTGTCCATGTTTTTGGAGGAATCTTAAAAAAGTCCATCCCATCTCGTTTAAGGAATTTTACGTTGTGCCGCATTTTTCCAAGCTGAAAATTTTCAAAACTGATCATCTTTGGAGACCTTCATTTATTTTTGAGAAATTTGAAATTAAATGTTGTTGTTTTTCACCGGATGGATATTTTTTAGCTGCTTTCGCTGTTGGTGACCACGTCAACATTCATATTTGGAGCATTGAACATTGCACTATTATTCAAACTGTACCAATGCAACTGAAGAATGCATTAGGATGTTGGTGGTCTGATGGTTTACTGTGGATATGGGATGGTTCTGATCATCTTATGAAGATATCAACTTCGTCTGAAAATTTTGTAGATTCTACTCAAGCAAAGCATGTTAACATTGGATTTAAACCTAAAGAAATCTTAACATTTGGTGATGTCTTGGTTTGTATTGACGAAGAAAAGTTTGTTCAAGTTGTTAGAATTACCAAGGGTGAGATACAATACAACAAAAGACTTCCTGTTGATAGTTCAAAAGTTAATGCAGCAGCTGTATCACCTGATAATTCTGTTATTTTAACTGTAAACAAAACAGAATACACATTATGGAAATGGAGAAATAACAAAAATGAACTTTACTTGGAACCTTGGCATACTGCAAAATACCCATAACAGCTGTCATTGAAAAATTTGTTCGGAACAGATAACTGTAAATAATCTAAAGTTCAACTGCTGTATAAGTGATAGTAAACAAGCAGTCATAACATTTTCCAAAGCCTTGAGATGTGAGGGCATTTATGTAATTAATGTTCATGAGAATGGTGATGTGAATGCGATTTTGCATGATGTCAGGAAATATTGTTTGGAATCCGACCTAGTCGTACACAAATCTTATTGCATTGGAGTGTTTGAATCGCTCTTTGGTCGGTCATTGGTTGCTGTAGATTTAAAGAGTGGTAAAAAGTGCGCTGAATTTAACGGACATGTAACGTCTAATATAACTATGCATTCCAATACAGGAACTTTAACTATGGTTGACAGTTCAAATGGCATAATTCAATTTTTAAAACTTAATGTTCCTGAATAATTACATCAACTCCAACTTTAATAGTAAATTCAAAAACCTTTTGAGAAAATTGCACATAGATGTTGATGGTCGTAAGGATGATTGATTGTTTCCACCTACTATAGTTTTCTACAGAAGAAGTATACTTATTCTACCAGGCAATCTTTAAGAAATTATCTATATTTCCAAAAAATAAATTTGGACAAATTTTGCAAAATATTTTTCAAACTGATCAGTACTATTTCTTGGAATGTCTTACCTCCTGCTATTAAAGAATGTAAAACATTATCTATGTTTTGCAATAATCTGAAACGATGTATAATTGCTTTCTATAACACAAATGACTTGTATTTAAAAAGAGCGCTTCTATACTAATTGATCATGAATACTTGTTTATTCCTTTCTAAGATTCTACTTGTAATTTTCATAAATGAATTGTCATTTAAACAGGGCATCCTCTAGATTTGACTACTACTGTGAGGTCTGCCCAGCTGATTTCTTTTGTTTGATGTTTTCAAGAGCTGAAATATGAATATTCACCCCCGAATATATCCTGTGTTATATTTACATTCTACGAGGCTGTGGCTTAAAGCAAGATCAATCAATGGCTTAGTCATCCTACTAGTTATGGTATTGCAAAATGCATTTGTAAATTTCAGACGATTTACATTCTTTACGAAATCACTTCTTTTAACACCCGCAGCGAGGACACATAGAAAACGGACAAACCATGAGTCTGAATCTGATGGCCAAAATGAGTCGGGTTGTCAATGATCAATTCCCGTCGTTAAAATGTTGTCAAAATAAAGACGACCACAACATTAGTTATTCACAATTTTAAAGTTTTGGTCCTTCTCGACCCAATCCTCAACCATTCACAATTGCTCCGCAAACTTCCTTATAGTCACGTGATTAAATGGAATGAAACATGGAAAGATGGCGGAATTCTAATGGATAGTTATTCATAGAGATGCCTTAGTAAGGTTTTATTTTCATTCCTTTTGAACTTTTTAAATCATTCAGTCATGCAGAAGAACGTGAAAATAAAGAATGTTTTCCTATCTGATGCTTACAAAGAATTCTACTAGATAAAGAAACAAAAAAGAGTCATTATTTACAACTAAAGAAAGCTTGCGAAACGGCTTTAGGTATAAATCTATAAGTAATGATTGTAGTTATTGCTGATGTATTTGGATTCTCTACGTTTGCTCTATGTTTTTATGCATTGTCAACCAGTTTCTACATTTGCTATCAACCAAACATTAAGTGTAGTAATCTTTCATTCAGGATGTCAACGAACGCTGTCGATAGTATCTTTAAAATTGCTCAATGTATGATTTGTACTTTTTTATAGGTGGCAAACAGTTATTTTTTAGTGTCAATCGCTTGTTCATGTTCTTCTGCTTGAGTTATATGTATATATGTTTCTGGAGAAATCTATGTCAACGTGTGCAATGAATATAATGTACTGCTGTGTTCAGGAATGTTGCTTTACAAAATGATCGCTTTATGATTTTGATCTATTCTAGAGGAAATAAACGCTGTTCAAGGAAATGAAAAATCTACAGGGTAAGTTTAATTATGTAAAGTTGTCCAATTTTCTTTCCAATTTTCCAATTTTAACATGACCAAAATGAGTTACTAACTTTGAATCTTATGTTTAAAAGATTAAGCTTAACTTTGAGTTTTATTGTTTAAAAGTTAGATTTATAAACCAGAATGTTGGTTTGATTTATTTATAATAAAATCTTCAGGAATGTTTCTTCTGCAACTCTACCTCCACTACCTGGTCAGTAAACATTCATTACAGCAGATCAATATTTTCTTCCTTTTGAGTTGGCTTGTCAAACAAAATGTGCCAGGATTGTCACCATTGCACTTGACTGTATTCAAGTAAGTTTTTGTTTGATGTGTTAGGACACTTGCAGTCTTTAGTTGTAAGAAATAGATTTAATATTGAAAACTCTTTCATCGCATTGTTATTAAGTTATTACCATTTCATAGCACAAAATAAGTTCCTGTATAGGATGCAATAAGTACTTTCTTTTGTTAGTTACCTCTTAAATTTCTCCTAGAAATTGTCAATATTGCTATCCTTATGTATCAACAGTACTCATCCCCAAGCCTCACAATTTCACATGTGTCTTTTTACCACCATTTTGTATTCCTTCACAAATCTAGGTCATGTATTTTGCTTCTATAAATCGGAGTATTTCAAACAATCTTTGTTCTTAGAAACTCATTGCTTATAGTCATATTGTTGGCGATACACCAGACTCCATTGAACCTGAGAGGCGTTTAATTGACAGAATTATCAAGACTATTTGTACTTGCTTTACCTGTATAAATACTGATGTAAATGTTCAAATACAAATTATAAAGGTATTTATAAAAAGTAATGTCAAACTGTTAAAGTATTTAATGAGGGAAATGATATGTCCTTAAGGAATTTAAAGAGGGTAATGACATATGTATCCCTATGTTTTTTACATTTTTTGTGCCATGAGTTTTTTAAATATCACATTGAATAATTGGATTCCAACAAGATTAAAAAAGCCAATGTGTTAACTATAGACAGTTGAAAATGATCTGATAATTTTAATGTGTATGTTTTTATTATCTATATTTACAGGCTCTTCTAACAGCTGTTACATCAAGTACTTGTGAACTTCAAGAAGGAACTTTACTTCAAGCAGTTAGAACAGTTTACAACATTTACCTTGCCAGTAAAAGTCGTATTAATCAAACAACAGCAAAGGCAACACTGACGCAAATGATAAGTCTTGTGTTTCAGAGAATGGGAAGTCAAGCTGTAAGTTTTGTTCCGATGAACAAAATATTTTGTATCATATTGTACATCAATAGACATGTCAATTTTGATAATATTGTATCATATTGTAAAACAATAGAGATGTCAATGTTGATAATATTGTATCATATTGTACATCAATAGAGATGTCAATGTTGATAATTTTGTATCATATTGTACATCAATAGACATGTCAATGTTGATAATATTGTATCAAATTGATCAATAGACATGTCAATGTTGATAATATTGTATCATATTGTACATCAATAGAGATGTCAATGTTGATAATATTGTATCATATTGTACATCAATAGACATGTCAATGTTGATAATATTGTATCATATTGTACATCAATTGAGATGTCAATGTTGATAATATTGTATCATATTGTACATCAATAGACATGTCAATGTTGATAATATTGTATCATATTGTACATCAATTGAGATGTCAATGTTGATAATATTGTATCATATTGTACATCAATAGACATGTCAATGTTGATAATATTGTATCATATTGTACATCAATAGACATGTCAATGTTGATAATATTGTATCATATTGTACATCAATAGACATGTCAATGTTGATAATATTGTATCATATTGTACATCAATTGAGATGTCAATTTTGATAATATTGTATCATATTGTACATCAATAGACATGTCAATGTTGATAATATTGTATTGTCGGAAAGTATAAACAGTTTAGTTAACGCGTGGGTCGCGCGAGACCAAATTCGGGAATGGCCGGTTCGTACCGGTAGAGAACAACAACACTTGTGGAAAAAGAAAAAAAGGGGGACAGCATGTTAGAGCTGTTGATAGCACATTTGTAATTGTTTCGAGCGAGAGGGACAAGAAATATTGTTAAAACGAAACTGTGTGAGTGATTTTCTGTGTTGGGCAAACAAATCCCGACAAGTGGCACCCCCGATGGGACGAGATTAACATGGATAAACTAGTAAAAGCGATCGAGACGAAAATCCAATTCCTGAAGTTCACAAATGAGGAAACAGTAAATATCCTGGGGAAAAATGACTTGGCAGGAATGGAGAGACAGAGGAAGACTTTAGAAAGGAAAACCGAAGAAGTACACGCTTTAAAAGAGCAGATTCAGGAATTAAACTTTGAGAGCGGCGAAAACGTAGACAATGTACGAGACTGGACGGAGAAAATTGAAGGGAAACTGGCAGAATTCGAGAACGCTATACGGGAGTTGAAACACGATCAAGATCGGGTTAAGGGCGAAGAAGATTTGAAACTAGAACACGAGAAGGCCTTGTCTGAAAATCGAGAAGGCCTTGTCTGAAAATCGAGAAAAGTTCACAAGCGGAAAAAAAGGCGCCACCAAATTGACAACAAAATTACCAAAACTGGTTATTACCAAGTTTACCGGACAACATACGGACTGGCTTAGATTTTGGGGGCAGTTTAATGCTGAAATTGACAATTCGGATGTCTCTAGTATAACCAAATTTTCATACAAGCTTGTCGAACCAAAAGTGCGGTCATGTATCGATGGATTACCATTCACATCAGAGGGATATGAACGAGCTAAGAACATTTTGACGACTAAATACGGCAAAACCAGCGAAGTCATCAACGCTTATGTTCAAAACATCATCAACCTGCCCAACATTCAAGGAACTAAGCCTGGTAAAATCCATGCATTTTATGAAACACTACTAACAAGCGTACAATCTCTCGAGACACTTGGGAAACTCAAGGAAGTATCAGGCTATGTCAGAATGTGTTGGGCAAACAAATCCCGACAGTATCATATTGTACATCAATAGACATGTCAATGTTGATAATATTGTATCATATTGTACATCAATAGACATGTCAATGTTGATAATATTGTATCATATTGTACATCAATAGACATGTCAGTGTTGATAATATTATATCATATTGTACATCAATAGAGATGTCAATGTTGATAATATTGTATCATATTGTACATCAATAGACATGTCAATGTTGATAATATTGTATCATATTGTACATCAATAGACATGTCAATGTTGATAATATTGTATCATATTGTACATCAATAGACATGTCAATGTTGATAATATTGTATCATATTGTACATCAATAGACATGTCAATGTTGATAATATTGTATCATATTGTACATCAATAGACATGTCAATGTTGATAATTTTGTATCATATTGTACATCAATAGACATGTCAATGTTGATAATATTGTATCATATTGTACATCAATAGACATGTCAATGTTGATAATATTGTATCATTTTGTATATCAATACACTGAAAATGGAAATGAAGAAAAGTATGATAGCGATAATTTTAAATCAGACGAAATAAGCAAAAAGGAGGAGAAAACTGACATCAATTCTTTACCAAATGGTGAAATCCATCATGGCGACGATAAAGTTGAAGATGTGAACGGTAAGAAAGCATTTCTACTTGTTTTTGGAGATTTGAACCTCCCCCCTAAAATTGTCTGAGAAGATAATCAACCCCTCTGTGTAAAAAAAAACTTGTCTATGTGTTTCTTTTGTTTTCAAAAACTGGCTTTACGACGATATTGCAGACCAATCCATATTTTTCAATATTCTTTGATGGCTTTCATTTACAGATAGCGAAGTCTCCGTTCCTTCCACGGAGGTTAAAGATTAAGATGTTATTGATACAGTTATCATGAATAAAGTATCAATGGTTGAAGAGAAGAGTGTAAAAGATGTTGTTGATGGTGTCAGTGATGCTGTGAACGATGACACAAAACAAGATTTAGTCGAAACAACAGTTGACACTAATGTCTCGGGGTCTGTTGATAAAGAACAGCCTTTAAATGACTCAGACGAGTTGAACAATGCTGCTGTAGATGACTTGCCTTCTAAGACTTCTTCAAATGGCAATACAAAAGACAATATAGGTGAAGAAAGTGAAGAATCAGCGAAGATTGCCAAAGAAAAACACCTCGATGGAAGTTCAAATGTTAATGACGAGTCCGTTAATGGCGATTCCCCAGTTGTAACTGAGGTACAAGATGTTAGTGATCCATCTGAATCCAAAGTAATCCCACCAAATAGCGTTGATGTTGATTCAAAAGCAAAGACAAATAACTCGACAACTAGCGAAGTTTCAGAGCCCAAGGAGGATGACGGGAATGAAACTGCACGAAGTTCCGTCTCCGAGTCACAGTCTAATATGCCCAGCGAGACGTCAAGTGAAGGCAAGCCACCTCAACAAAGTTTTTCTCATATCACTCAGAAGGATGCATTCTTAGTGTTTAGGTCATTGTGTAAACTATCGATGAAACCGCTTGCGGAAGGACCATTGGATCCCAAGTAAGTTAGCTACAGTTTTGAGATGTATGTTGATAATGTAAAACTCTCATTGATCATAAGTCACGTCAAAAAAGTGGTTTGAGCTAATTTATATTGTACTATCAGTTCATCTCATCATGAATATCTTTACTACAGAAACTTCGACTTATTTTTGATACTAAGATACATGTATCAAACTGTTCGTTTATATCTTCTTGATCCAATATTACTACAGAAGGAAACCTAAATTAAACAAACTTTATTTATACTATAGATATCTCTAACTAAGATCATAACTGTTCTTAAAGATCATGCAGTAAAGGTCATCTCTTATTGATATAACTTTATGTACTACATGAACAAATTGAACTCAACTAAATTGTCCTGACATATAAAAGATAGCTCTATCAGTACTTTTTTAAAGTAAGATTTTAGCATTAGCTTTTAAGATTTACTCGCGATAAAAAACCTTTCATTATTTTCAGATCGCTTGAGCTCAGATCTAAAATTCTCTCACTGGAGTTGCTGTTAACTTGTCTACAAAGTGCCGGACCTGTTTTCCGTACTCATCCAATGTTTATCAACGCTATAAAACAATATTTATGCGTCGCATTATCAAAGAATGGCGTCTCATCTGTTCCTGCTGTGTTTGAACTATCGTTGGCAATCTTTCTCACACTTTTGTCATACTTCAAGACACATTTGAAAATGCAGATTGAAGTGAGTTTTAGGAATTAAACTTTCACGTGACATTTTAGATTCTGTCGAAACTATGATTTATATCAATCATGAATCCGATATTATAGTGTAAACTTTCCGTGAAATGCTAATTGTTTCGTTTGTTTGATAATTTCGTTTGCTGCTGCAATAAGCGCTGATATTTTGAACATTTCAAAACTTCACTTTTTTGCTATAATTTCCGTGTCGTAACCAGACGACTTAGGTTAGTACTTTATGTTATATTGTATAATTTTGACCAGGTGTTCTTCAAAGATATTTTCTTAAACATTTTGGAAACCTCGACAAGTTCTTTTCAACATAAATGGATGGTGATGGGGACTTTAACTAGAATATGTTCAGGTAATTTCATCATTGTCATGTAAGTGTGTGTACATTACTTCAGTTCATTAAAATTTCAGTTCATCGTCAATTTTTCATGTATTCCTTCTTATCCATTTACTCACCAATCTTTCAATCCATTCGTTACAATCATCCATTGAATACCTTGCGTTTGTACCTCAATTCATCTTACGTGTACACCTGTACATTTCGTCTATCCAATCCATCTTACGTGTATTTTTCTATCTAATCCATCTTACGTGTACACCTGTACATTTCTGTCTATCCAATTCATCTTACGTGTACACCTGTACATTTCGTCTATCCAATTCATCTTACGTGTACACCTGTACATTTCGTCTATCCAATTCATCTTACGTGTACACCTGTACATTTTGTCTATCCAATCCATCTTACGTGTATACCTGTACATTTCGTCTATCTAATCCATCTTACGTGTACACCTGTACATTTCGTCTATCCAATCCATCTTACGTGTACACCTGTACATTTCGTCTATCCAATTCATCTTACGTGTACACCTGTACATTTTGTCTATCCAATTCATCTTACGTGTACACCTGTACATTTCGTCTATCCAACCATCTTACGTGTACACCTGTACATTTCGTCTATCCAATTCATCTTACGTGTACACCTGTACATTTCGTCTATCCAATTCATCTTACGTGTACAACTGTACATTTCGTCTATCCAATTCATCTTACGTGTACACCTGTACATTTCGTCTATCCAATTCATCTTACGTGTACACCTGTACATTTCGTCTATCCAATTCATCTTACGTGTACACCTGTACATTTCGTCTATCCAATCTCGTTCATCTGCACTTTTATCCATTTACTAACAATAATATAACGCGCGAAATGATTGCTCTGTAGCTGTGTTTGCATTAGCCTGTACAAACTTGCGTATCTGAGCTTCATCAATTATATCAATCAAAGATAATTTGCAAATGAATCATGAATACATGTTAGAGAAAAATTTTAAACTTTTTTGTTGAAGTTGTCTGTTTCGCATTACTATTATTTACAAAAGAACTAAAAGATGTTTTTTGTGTTTGTACTGGCTTATGCAAACCTTGAGACTTTGTGTGAACTCTCTAGCTGGTGCAAACGTCAACTTTCGGTGTAAAGCTTGCACTGACATTGTCTCCAGTTCTACCAAATGTCTCTCCATTTGCTTAACCCTGTACAACAATTAAGCATCTTTTATTTCCAAATCCCATCCTATATTCAATCTTCACAATCCTCTCGTTCGAATTTTCTTCGTGGGTGTGCAAGAGGTGAGGTGTGACCTTTCCCTTACTAATTATCAATATACCAACAATTAAATTTTTGATTTTATCTTCCTGTCATCCATTAATATCCATTCATATTAGCCATTAATGTCCATTTGTGTCCTTTATTGCAGACGCACAGACGGTCGTTGATATATATTTAAATTACGACTGTGAATTGGCTTTGTCGAATATCTTTCAAAGATTGATCAATGATTTGTCTAAAGTTGCCCAAGGACGTCAAGCTATTGAATTAGGAGCGACACCAGTAAGTTGATGAATATGTTTCATAATGTTTACTTCTCTACATTCTCTTGTTCATATCTATGCCACTCGAAAAGGACTGGAACGTAGTCTATTATTATGAAAAGGACTGGGACATAGTCTATCAACATGAAAAAACTGGAGCATAGTCTATCAACATGAAAAGGACTAGAACATGTCTCTAATATTTTGTGCTGACAATGTTGATTATAATACATCTTTTTATCACGTTTTTATATGAATAGTATCAATGTCGTCTTATTTTTATATGATTTTTCCAGGTTCAAGAACGCAGTATTCGTATCAAAGGTCTGGAATGTCTCGTTTCTATTCTTAAATGTATGGTAGAATGGAGCAGGGATCTTTACTTTAAACCTGATTCTCAGGTGGACGATAATTTTGGTAAGTTTTAACATCTTTATGAAACTGAAGAAACTCGCATGTAGCGAATATAAACTTAACATTGTTATACATTTCGATAAGTTATCACTTTATGATCCATTGTACCCCTCTTTTGATATCGGCTACACTGACGATTTTTGTCTCCATCAAGTTTACATCTTTCTATACTCTGTATCCCCTATTTATCGAAGGTACTCCATTATTTTCTTATACACACGTTAATGTTCTTAATCGTAACTAGTTGTTCGACATTTGTTGATAACCTCTCAGGATGTAAGCTATCCCTTAGTTGTCTTACTTACCCTTGGTGGTCTCGCGGTGGATTAAGGCTATATCTTAATGTTTATAGTTACTTATTATTGACCCATGCTACCCTCAATGTTCTAGTCTATCTCTCAATAATCTATAGTATCTTCTCGATGATCTAGGCTATCTTTTGATGATCTATGCTAACCTCTTAATGATCCACGCGATCCCTTATTGATCTCCAAATCATCATAGTTATTCCTCAATACTTCTGTTTAATCTCTTCCATATAAATTTCCTGACAGATCTGGTTGATGGTGCACCAACAATTTCTCGAAAAGGAAGCACCGAGGAGAATGAAAACGGAGGGGAACCCGGTGATTTACAATCTCAAAAAACGGGGGTAGTCAGTCGTCTCTTAATAGTACAAAAGCCATCGATAATGCTCAAGAATTTGAGAGTCTTAAACAGAAGAAGGAGACGAAAGAAAAGGGAATTCAATTGTAAGTTTGGTCAACAAATTTGCTTCTCTTCTGTATTTTTATTCAATTTTACGATTTACTTTAAGATTTAACAAGAATCCATCAAAAGGTATAAAATTCCTTCAATCTGAAGGTCTCCTTGGTGAGACAGCAACGGAAGTCGCTCAGTTCTTACACACTGATGATACACTAGACAAAGTGATAATTTTAGTCTATTTATATCCCTTGCAATCCTTATGTTTCATTTTACATGATGTTGTCTTCTTTCACTAAAGTTTTCATTATGTCACATTTGCACGCTATCTTTGAAGAATTTGTAGAAACATTAAATGTTGCTTCGGATTTTGACCCAGTGTGGCGTTTTATGGTTTTAGACTATGATTGGTGAGCTGATTGGTGATCCAGGACAGTAAGTATGTTTTTACACATCTCCCTCGCGTGACAATCACGTAAAAATCACGTTAAGACGTTTGATTCTCATTTTATGTATTTATTTCAACATAAATTGAGTCAAGAAAGGTTGATTATGTCAATTTGCCATGAAGCCCATGGATGGTTTGCTCATGATACATGAAATAGTAAATCAGAAAATTTAATCGTAAAATCAAGAATGTTTAAAATATGTTTAAGGTTGCATTAAACTCCATGTAAAAGGACAAAAGCTGTTTGAAACTAAGCATTATCTTCAAATCTCTTGGTTATTTTGTCCATAAAAAACAAAACAATCTTTTTATATACACAAAATTTCTCTATTCAGTGGATAGCATTAACAGAATTCAGTAAGATTTGCTACTGTTCAAAAGAAGCAAACAATATGTTTAGTACACTTAGATATATTGTTCGTCATGTCCTCAACTGTTCTTCATATCCTTAACTGTGCTTCATATCCTCAACTGTTCCTCGTGTCTTCCTATACTTCTTAGATATGAACGAGAGATAATGTACGCCTATATAGATCAGTTGGATTTCACTGGTACCAATCTTGTGCAAGCTCTGCGATTGTTCTTACATAACTTCCGGCTTTCCGGTGAAGTGCAAAAGATCGATCGACTCATGGAGAAGTTTGCGAGTAGGTTCTGTGAAACGAACCCAAAGTAAGGACATGATTTGTGTCTTGTTATCTGTTGTTTTACATCTCGCATTGCATGCTGGTTAGTGAAACTTACGAAATGACTTTTGTCTATGAACCATGTGTTAATTCTTTTTTCATTTAATATCAACAATAATTTAGGACAGGTTTTTGACGATTTTTGTTTTTTTTAAGTATTTTCTCATCGAACTTTTATTATTCCAGTTTTGAGGGCTGCAATTTGCTGTTAGATAGATGTAAAGTGAGTTGTTTGAACTGGGAGTATTGTTACATGTTTGTAGATGTAGATCGTCCAGGATTGTAGAGTCCTGAGACGGACTGTTGTTGATGTTGACTGACGTTTCTACAACCTTACTCATGTACAAACATGTCTAGATATAGCTAGGTTAGACTGTCTATGATAAACTTTTTTTATATTTATCATTTATATTTTAGTGACGATATGTTTGCTAGTGCAGACGTTGCCTACGTTCTGGCTTATTCTATCATCATGTTGACTACTGATCTACATAGTTCACAGGTTACACAGACTTACTTCATTTGCAATGGTTTTCTATAAAAGTGACTTTATGTCTAAGATCACGTGTCTCCGTTGTGGTCACGCGAGATTTTCATGGCGTTCATATGGAGCCTTCATTGGAATCACGTGAAAATTTAGCCTTTAGATGCGACATCGTAATCACGTGAAATTTTCTTTCAGGTTAAACGGAAAATAACGAAAGAGCAGTACATTCAAATGAATCGTGGTATAAATGACAGTAAAGATCTTCCATCTGAATATCTTAAAGCAATTTATAATGATATTGCACTGAATGAAATCAAGATGAAACATACACCAAAAGTGAACAGTAGATACGATGCTACATGTATGTATTGGAACATTAATACGAGAATCAAGGCTTAACTGAAAAAATTGTACAGATGCTAGGTAAAGGTCTTGACTGCGAAGTGTAGAGTCCTAGTCCTGAGATGAAGGTGAAGGTCTTGAGATGGAGGTGTTGGTCTTGAGATGGGTGTAGGAAAGGGGCTTATATTGGATATTGTGATGTTCGGTGTTGGTCTTAAGAGAGCTGCAATGCATTTTCATGAAAGTAAAGAAATTTTTTATTGTGCTTCCACTTTACAGATTTACAAAGTGAGAAACATCGTCGTATGTTGTATTCTATGGAAATAGAGCAGATGGCGGAAAACGCCAAAACACAAATGGAAGACGTGAGTCATATTCAGACGGATTTTGTCACGGCGACACAGATTGGTCCCGTGAAGACAATGTTCAAGGTACGGGGGGGTGGAGTCTGGAGGGTAATGTTTGTGGTGTATGTAAGGATTGATTAACGAAGCGTTAATTGTGATGTCAACTTATACAGACAGTGCCAAGTACGGGGGGCGTAGATTTCGAAACATGATGACATTCATCTTAATCTTGTTAAAGAAAAGACTTAGATTTTATGTAATGAATGTTTGCGATTACGAAGAGTAAATCTGTTTGATAATCTAATATTTTAGCTGACCAATGAATGATTTGACTGGATTTTCTATTGAGATAATCCACTACTTAAGCTAAGTCTGCTTCTTACAACCGGCCCCAGTCCCCATTGTTGACCATTTTGTTTTGTGTGTTTAAGGTTGCATGGAGTCCGTTTCTTGCCGCGTTCAGCGTCAATCTACAAGACAACGACGATCCTTCTGTTGCTTCATTTTGTCTTGATGGAATCCGCTGTGCAATACGAATATCTTGCATATTCAGCATGCCTGTAAGTTGATAAACACACAACATTCTGTTCATTTTAATATATTTGGGTATGAAATAACGACATTAATGTCTCTGCATACCTTTCCATCCCCTGGTGACCCTTTCCCGGACATAAATATATATTCAAAAATATGTTGAATGTTGAATTGTTCAAATTTATGAATATATTTACGTAGTTACATACACGTTCTGTTCTTTGCGTGTTATATGTTCAAGGTTTAGATGATACTCATATGTATACAATAAAAACAGATGTTTGTTTACCTTTGAATTAATTGTCTGTTTGTGTACATATATGGATATATCAGGATGCATGTGAATGTGAAATAATCTTTTCTTAAAAGTTTTTCAATGATTACAGTTTGTTTTAATGATTTAGGGAATATGAATGGAGATTCTTTACCATTAAGTTCATTTTTCGATACTCCTATTAACTCTTTTCACATTGTAGTTGGAAAGAGATGCTTTCGTACAAGCGCTATCCAGGTTCACTTTACTTACTGCGACCAGTGGCACGCATATTCATGAAATGAAAACGAAGAACATCGAGACGATCAAGACACTTCTTACCATCGCTCAAACGGATGGTAATTACATCGGGAAGTCTTGGCTCGAGGTAGAGAGAATCATCTTGCTATATATTATGGTTTGTGTCTACGACTGAAAATATGATCGATTGTTTTTTTCATCAAAAGAAAAAGTCTAGGTCTTGTCTGTAGTGGAAACTTCACGATATTTCTACAGTCTTTTACTTTCATTTTTGCAAGTGCTTTGTTGATTGTATTCGATACCATTCATCAGAGAATCGTATCACAAATGTACATCAGTAATAATTATGCATGAGAAAAGAAAGTTTTTCTCAAGATATTTTTTATTTGAAGATATTTTCTACGTATGTATTTAACGTTTATGTTCGTCTTGTTGGACACTCGTTTTCGTTGCTGAAATGCTTGTTCCGCTCAGCGTATCTTTTTACGTTTCCCTAAAGTCATTGTTTTCATTCTAGATACTGAAATGTATTTCCCAACTTGAATTGGCTCAACTTATTGGTACTGGTGTGAAAACGCGATACCTTCATACGGCCTTCAGCGGTGTTACTAATTCACCCACAGCATTCACCGCAAACAACAAGACATCTTATGATATAACCTCAGGTTGCTTAGTTGCTTATAACATTGTTGTGACGCTCATAGAAAAATGTCAAATACTAACGTTAGGTGCTTTTCTTTGCTTGTATTTCTATGAAGGTCGGATACCTGTTGCCGCTGACTCGAAAAAAGCGGCTGGCTCACAGGAAGCCATTGGGGAGACCGCTGCACAAAGTGTTGTTGTTGCAGTTGACAGGTAACGTTTACTTTAATGATAGGTATGTGGATTGTGTTTTGTGACCTATCTCCCACCCCAGGGGCGAAGCTAGAACGTTCATGCAGGGGTAGGGGTGAATATTCATAAATATGGTCATATATTCCGCTGTGACCAACTAATTTCTTTTCAAATTAAAATAGCTTTTAAACCAAATCATTCAAGCAAAACTAAATATATGAATATTCACCTCCCATTCAGCGTTCTGGCTTTCAAGTTGTCTTTAAGCTAGAGTGGGGCTTGTAACAGCAAGAAAAGTCGATGGATGTCTCTCTATGTAGACATGTTCATTGTCCATGTTAGCAGAGTCCTCAGAATGACTGTTATTGTTATTGTTGACTGACGTTTTGACATCCTTAGCGGTAGTCATCTTCAGGCTCAAGTAAACCAGAGAACATTGAAGATAAACATGAAATTAAAATTTTGAAGAACTCGTGCACTGTCCATACGTTATGTTCTCTCAGCAGAATATCTTCATCTCAACTTCTTCATTATGTTTTATTACGTTTAGAGTTTTCACGGGATCAGTGAAACTGGATGGTGATGCTATCGGTAGGTTTGCATGTATACAGTAAACTGCATCTTACATAAGATTTGTATACATCTAACTTGACCATCCTTTGTCCCAAGTACACAAATCCCCTGTTCCCAAATACCAAATCCCAAGTATCCAAATCCCCAGTATCCCAAATCCCCAGTATCTAAATCCCCAGTTCTCAAATACCAAGTATGGTTATCTCCTGTACCCAAATCTCAAAACTTTTTCGCTTTTCTCCTAAGTCGATTTCGTGGAAGGTTTACGTCAAGTCTCGGAAGTTGAGCTTTCCAATCCTACAATGATACGTATGTTTAGTCTGCAGAAGATCGTAGAGATTGCTTATTACAATATGGGTCGTATTCGGCTACAATGGTCACGAATATGGGCTGTGTTGGGAGATCATTTTAACAAGGTTAGCGATTATTAACGACTAAGATTGTATCTTGATAATATGGATATAAACATCACGTTGTTGTGATGTACTCAGGTATAGTAACAAGATAATCATTGTCTTCAATGTTCTACCAACTAAACTACACGATCAACTGTGAACTATGATGATATTTTAAAACACAGTTCTAGTTTCTTTCATATCTTAATATCATAGATAATAACATCTCGTTGTTGTGATGTACTCAGGTATAGTAACAAGATAATCATTGTCTCTCCAATGTTTTACCAACTAAACTGCCAGATCAACTGTGAACTATGATGATATTTCAAAACACAGTTCTAGTTTCTTTCATATCTCAAGTATAAAAACAAGATAATCAATGCCTTCATCTCCAATGTTCTACCAACTATAGTACTTCTCCATCTTAGATAATTTATGTGCCATTTTAGTGTGGTTGTAACCCTAATGAAGAAGTTGCGTTCTTCTGTGTCGACTCTTTGCGACAATTATCCATGAAGTTCTTGGAAAAGGGGGAATTGCCAAATTTCCGATTTCAAAAGGATTTTCTCCGACCCTTTGAATACATAGTGAAGAAAAACAGGTAAGTTTATGCAGGAGTCAATTCTGTCAGAAAATGTAAAGTTTCTTGCAGCTTGAAAATCTTTCTTTGAAATAAACAAAATTTGTGGCAGACTTTGCAGATTCTTTACCAAGTTGAAATTTTACGAAGAATTTTACAAAGGACGTCTTTCAATCAATCGCTCTGTTTTGTCTGTTATAATTCGAAGGATTTGATTAAAATTCTTTCTTCGATATGTTTATGAACTTCGCAACAAGGACTGCAATTTTAAGTCTACGATTTGCTTGAATCAACAACTGGATTTTTCACATTTTAGTTCTTGCACAATTCGAGATATGGTCGTACGATGTGTCACACAAATGGTGCATTCGCAAGCCGCAAACATCAAATCTGGTTGGAAAAATGTTTTCTCCGTTTTTCATTTGGCTGCGTCCGATCATGATGAAGGAATCGTGGAACTTGCTTTTCAAACAACAGGTTTGTAGTTTAAGGAAGGAGCTTTTTCTTCTAATCTTACCGCCGACCTGTCTGTTGTTATGTATTTGAATATCATTTAAGTAAATGTGTTTCTCGGATGTGGCAGAGAGCTTCGTTTATTTTCCCACAAGAGTTTTATGTGTTCGTTCTTTTCCATGGTAATTCAGCCATATTCGTATAAGTTTTCGAGGTAAACTTTTATTTATCATGAAGTCGATGGATGTTCGACTCATGATGCATGAATGAAAATTAAACGAGAGTTAATGGAGAAATGAAATAAATGTATGAAACATTTTTTCGTTGATGCAAATTACGAGTCAAAAGGCAGTTTTTTTTAAACTTTTCTAGCCCTGTTTCTCTACTGTTTCAACGTCACTTGTAAATCAAAGCTTTGACAGATTCATTTATCCCAGAAGATTATCAGTGTATAAATTTCACATCCCCCATTTTCTCTTTCAGCCACGATTTTTGAGAAATATTTCTCCGCAACCATCGACTCTTTCCAAGATGCCGTCAAGTGTCTCTCGGAATTCGCATGCAACGCAAGTTTCCCTGACACGAGTATGGAAGCAATAAGACTGATACGAAATTGCGCCAAATTTGTTTCCGAAAATCCTGTGGTACGACGATTGCAAATCTACTTTCTTTTCACCTTTGAAATGATTTAAAATTTTGCAAAATCACATCAAAGCTAACCACTTTGGATCAAATCCAACCCAAATCATCTATTTCAATCGCTTTTTCGTGTATCATTTTCCAATGGCGTCTGTTTTCTTTTCTTTTATAAACAGATGTTTAAAGACTACGGAGTAGAGGATGCTGGGATATCAGAGCAGGACAGAATCTGGGTGAAAGGCTGGTTTCCAGTCCTTTTTGAGCTTTCGTGTATCATCAACCGATGTAAACTAGATGTCAGAACAAGGTATGGTGGAAATATTGAGTTGTATGTACTGTATAGATTAGTATGTATTGTATAATTTGAATGTGAGCTATTTTCCATCCATCAACTAGAGGCCTAACCGTGATGTTTGAAATCATGAAAACATACGGGAACACGTTTCTCCAACATTGGTGGCGTGATGTGTTTAAAGTCGTGTTTCGAATTTTCGACAACATGAAACTACCAGACAGACAGATAGATTGGCAGGAGGTTAGAAAACTGTTATTATTGTGCTCTTATTATAAGGCAAGCGTCACTTCCGGCTAAATGGCGCGCTTTGATTGGCTCAGAAACAATTTGCCGGTCCATTATTCTCCCGTAATCGACCACGGTTCAAAACACGTAGTTTATAATATGTCGTTATTGTGGTCTTATTGTCTATGATTGCCATAAACACGCATTATATCGCAAAAAGTCAACTTACATACACGACTATCCAGTTCCACATGGAATAATATTCATTTCATGTCTTCATGTCTACCCACCTTCATTCCTCATTCACTCATCCATTTCAATTGTGTATCCACTCCATTGAACTAAAATACATGGAACGCTACCTGTAATAGAAAACCGTAGTAATTTTTTGAAGCCATATTTTACACCCAGACACGCGTGTGTAGTTCAATCAATTTTCACTTCGCGAGAGAATCTCGAAACACTAAACACGCGTGTCTGGGTGTAAGATTTGGCTTCAATTATTTGCTTCATGTAGCTTTCCATGTATTTTAGTTCAATGACCCCCTCATATCCTCCTCTATTTCTTATTCACTTTTATCCATTTTCATTCTAGAGTCACTTCATTCTGTATTTCTACTCGTATTCACTTCATTGTCTATCCATTCTTATCCTCTTGCATTCCCTATTTACACACCGATTTCATTTTGTGTAAACGATTTGTACAAGTATGGAAGGTTTGAAACACTCGTTTGTGAAAGTTACCACCTGTAAAGAATGCTTTTGCCTTTAAATCAGGAGGGAGTATTGTTAAACTGCGGGAAGATCGTTTCCTTTACATAGAATAAAGTCCGTGTATAAGATGTTGTATTTCCTCGTTATAAAATCAGACATCAGCTGAGGATTTTTGAAATTTGTGATGTTTTTTTATAGAAATCAGAATGGATGACAACAACTTGTAATCACGCTCTATATGCTATCATCGATGTTTTTACTCAGTATTTTGATATTCTTGCTGAAATTCTTCTTGATGATATGTATGGCCATCTAGAGTGGTGTGTCAAACAAGGTAAGCTTGAGATTTCGCAACGTGTTTGTGCTTGGCATTTGCCTTGGTGATTGGTTCGTTGTGTCAGAGTTTGTGATTGGTTTGAAATATAAGAATTAGTGATTGGTTTGAAGTGCGAGAATATGTGATTGCTTTGAACTATGAGAGTTTGTTATCGGGTTGAAGTATGGGAGTTTGTGATTGGTTTGAAGTATGAGAGTGTGTGATTGGTTTGAACTATGAGAGTGTGTGATTGGTTTGGTTTGAGGTAAAAGAAGTATCAGAGTTTCTTTCAGTTTCGACTGTAAATGCTTTGAAACACCATGTCCTGCTTTGCTCGTTCATTCATTACATGTCTTTAGATAACGAGCAATTAGCGAGGTCTGGTACCAATTGTTTGGAAAATCTCGACTTATCCAATGGCAACACGTTCTCCGAAGACGTCTGGGAAAAGACATGTCAATGTGTAAAGACGATATTTGAATCAACCGTACCTCACGAACTATTGAAATGGAGACCCGCTGACCAACAAGTAATGAGTCTACCCACACCCGATGTCACTCCTGCGTCATCACCACTCAAGGTATGATACACTCAAGGCCTGACCATATGGAGGCGAGCTGCCCGGATAGCGAGCTAGCCCAGATGATTTCAAGGGATTGAAAAGAGCCAAAACTTCAAGGTTAAAAATTACAACTGTTTGCGAAGCGCCACACGTCATTCCGGTTGTAATTGTCAAATTATGGCAAATTGGTTGTTTTAATTTTAAATGTTTTGCGTAGTTATTAAATCAGAATATTGTGAATTTGCTATCGAAGATTTATCTGATAATAAGTATTGAATCGTTTCCATTTGCCAAAATAATTTAACGCTTGGCTGATTCCCGGCTACCGGGATCATGTAATCCGCCCCTTAGTATTTTTTATGAAGTTTTAAAGCCCGACACTCTAAAATTATAGAAAAACTTTTATAACTATTTTGTGTGTTTTATGTATTTATTACCCTTGAAATTTACGTATATCGTAGATAATGTCACCTGTCGACCTGGAGGATGATATCGTGCCCAAATATCCGGAAGGTAAATAAAAAGTTTGTGAATTCTTTTAAAGGAAAATTTTTGCTTTAATTGTGTCCATAATTATAAGATTGGAAAATATTTCATGGTAAGCTAAAGCTCGCATATTAAAAAAGCTCATTTGAACCAAAAGCTCATATGAAGCAAAAGTTCGCATATTGCAATATAGCTCGTGTGAATCTTTAACTCGTATGGACCAACAGCTTGCATTCTTTGAGTAACAATTGAAAATTTTCCGTATTATTTTTTAGACGAGGACGAACAAGATGGTCAGCAATCGTCAAAAGGTTTGAATGAAACGGAGGAGGAAATGCCTCAAGAAACAGTTGAAGAAACCAAAGAACAAGACAGCATTAGTTTACATAGTACGCCTAGTTTACGATTTGAACCTGTCGAAGAACACGAACCAGGTAACTATGTGTTAGAAATCAATTGAGATTAATAATTTGTTGTCACAGCCTGCTGCCATTTACGTGTTTAATTTACTTTGGTTTATTGGAAAGGCGTAGCAAAACGTATAATTGATATATGCGTTTGAAAAACTCAATCTGAAGTGAACAGCGACGTCATGTAAGATTTCCTGAAACTGCTTATGTTCCAAAAATTTACATTTTTTGCAATGTTTGAAACAATAATGTTGTTAATTGTTACTAATAGAACCAATAATGTTACTAATTAGTAATTATTACTACTTCTCCTGTTAACTCTTATTTTTTATAAAAAATAGCACTAACTTAAGAAACTTATTTTTTGTTTTATTTTTTTTTGCATTCGTTGCTTATTTTATTTTATTTTGTATAAACCTTTAATAAGATAAATTAGCCCTTTGTTTGGGATATTCAAAGTTCGATTTTACCGACAAATGAAAAATCGTCTGAGCGTGAATACGGAAATGTTCAACCAACACCCGAGTGACATTTTTTAATTTTTTCATGTATGTACTTTAACGTCGTAAAATCATCTCATTATTTTAGTTGTGCAGACGGAGAGGATGCTGTTCAATTCATTGATCATTAAGTGTGTCGTTCAATTGGAACTTATCCAAATGATCGACAATGTCGTCTTTTTCCCAAGCACCAGCAAGCGAGAAAATGAAGATACTATGGCTGAATTACAGGTCAGTTGTAATTACAGTCGTTGTAGGCAATACTGAGATAAAATGCTTTGTCGTAATGTTGTTTTACCTGAGTTCTCCTTGGTGGCATAACAAAGCTCTTAGCTGAAGCACAGAATATGTAATATACAGAAAAGACACTTGGCATCTTTAGTTGTTAGGAACAAATTTATTCAAAGAAAAAGTTTGTCAAACATAATGTGCCAGGATTGTCACCATTGCACTTGACTGTGTACAAGTAAGTTGTTTTTGTTTGATGTGTTAGGACACTTGGAGTCTTTAGTTGTAAGAAATAGATTTAATCTCGGAAACATTGTCATTGCGTTGTCTCTAAGCCATTACAATTGGATAGCACAAAATAAAGTTGCTACAGAACATTTTTTGTTTCTTTCCTCCTAAATTCCTCCCAGAAAAAGCTAGAGGATCCAACCTTCAAAAAATTTGTCATTATTGCTATCTTTATCTATCCACAGTACTTACTCATATCCAATCCTCCAAGTTCCCATGTGTCTTTTCAACAAAATTCTTTATCCCTCCACATGTCTATCTAGGTCATGTATTCATCTTATATAAAGTTCGATATTTCATATTCTTTGTTCTTAGAAACTCATTGCTTATGGTCATATTGTTGGTGATACACCAGACTCCATTGAACCAGAGAGGTGTTTAATTGACAAAATTATCGAGACTATTTGTAGTTGCTTTACCGGTATAAATACTGATGTAAACTTTCAAATACAAATTATAAAGGTGTTTATAAAAGTAATGTCAAACTGTTTAAGTATTTAATGAGGGAAATGATGTATCCTTGAGTTATTTAACGAGGGTAACGACATATGTTTTTTACATTTTTAGTCAAATTTTTTACTATTTTTAATATTACGTCACCTACACCAGATATAACATAAAGTTCACAAAAAATATTCTCGTATTATATTGAACTTGCAGGAACGATGTCTCTTTCAAGGGAAAGAGCTATTTGTTATGTAAATATAGGAAGAAATACGCTAGGAAGACAATTTGATCTTTTATAAAAACAGAACATTAATTTAATTTTTAAAGCCTTTATTAAACTTTCTATTTTATGAAGTTATTATATATTACATACAAAAATCATCACAGAAAAGAGTATCCAACCATGTATCAAAACCGTATGAGGTACATACCCATATTTTTCAAGGAGTTTAATGAAGTTAATCATCTATTGAATCTAAAGGTTTTGTCAAATTTTCGTAGATTCTTTACAATACGACAATAAGAAATTGAAGGTCTGTTATGCCGATCGGTGCTTAGTACCTATTACATCAATACATCTCTTGATCTTTGACCCTGGAATTTCGGAAAAAGAGTTTGGCCATTTCCATTTGGACATATTTTGGTTTTTATTCTCTTCAAATATTTTTTAAAATTTATACTGGGGCTTGTTACTCGAAGCGTGGATAGCGTTATCCATTGGATAGTAGTTTTTTAAACTTGTGAATGTGCATGGTTATATTTTGTTTATGATGATGAAACTTTGTAATTCTAGAACCAATATTGTATTTCATTTATTGTCCAGTTCGAATTGTTGATTTTTCCCATTTATGATATTTTTGAAGCGCTCAAAAACGTTGCTACTCAGTTTAATGCACAGCCTTATTCGACCTTCGTGTGACTGATCTCTTTGGTAATTTATCGTAAAAGTTTCTGTAAAAATTATAAATCTGGTGAGAACCATATATGGACAATGAACATGATTATTGTCTACTTTTCAGCTGTATCCAGTTACAAGCTGTGAATCAGAATGATCTCGTGATGAGCCCATCCTTTACATTTCAATGATGTGTACATTACAATACGAAGAAAGGGGAAATTGAAGAAATATTTCAATATAAAACTGTGGCTCTACGTTGTAGAATGAAATATTAAGTGTGGAAATGACGAAATAGTCGTTTTGATCATATTTGGTGAGTAAAATTGTGTAAAACATTGATTTTAAAGCCGTATTGTTGAGCTACTCGTTGTATTGTATCAAAGGTTTGACTAAATGGCAGAATACTCGTTCACTTGGATTCATTGACTGTGCATCCACATTTTCAGTAGATACACAGACGATATTATACCGTATATAAGATGATTCTAACTTCTGAGAAAAGAAAAATCAACGTGAAACGAAACTATAAGATAAATAGCGCTACATCTATTGGACAATACGATAATGTATATTTATGCTTATTTTATCAAATTGCGTTTCACCATATAAACACAAATGATTTGTTTATCAACCAAAACGACCAAATTTTAATATTTAAATCAACCACGAACGATTTGCATCAATTATACATTACCACATTGATAGGTAATTATAGATTTATAGTGCCATTGTCACACAACCTAAGCGTTCTGTTGTGCGGAATGCTAAATCACGATTCTTTTAACGACAAACATTGGTTCATTACCACGAGTATTAAAATCAAAAAATGCTTATCCAATTCGTCTTTTCAAGACTTCAACTCAATGCGTTACCATGCATCAATCAAATGCGTCGATAAAATGCGACCATTAAAAAATGCGTATTGAAACAACCGGAAACATCGTTTGCAGCCTCTATATATACTAAACATTCAACAAGATAAAATTACAAAGTTTCCTGTTTGCCACGATTGGAAAGAAAGTTTTTCTCAGCAACTCAATGCTTTAAACTTCCCATGACAAATGCATGTGCGTAATTTAACGTAAATAGTTCCCATTTTACCATGCTCTTACTTCTTTGATAATGTTCATGCTTACAGAAAGAGAAAGATACTTCACTTGTTTTGATTATATATGAAAATTTCTTCCCGTATACTATTTTATAGTGATAAGTTTTACATCGTCCATATTATTATTTATAAATTGATAAAACTTACGACAAGCCAGGTCACGTTGCAAGAAAAACTGTCTGTTGCTCATTTCTTTTGCTGTTTTTCAGTTTTTACAATTTTTATGAGCACAAAACGGTTAAAACCACAAAGAATTCAACATAATTTAAGAATTTTTTTGATGATCCTTTTATTCGTTTGAAAATGACTGACTCAAGTAGTACCAACTATTGTCTGACTATAGCTGGTGATCTTTGCTTGGAAACTTAAACTTTGACGAAAAATGGCCATTTGGATCAATATTTGGATACATTTTGGCCTATTTTCTATTCTAATAATTTATCGGAATCATATTGGTAATTTAATAAAAAGTCTATGTCAAAAACATAAATCTGGTGAGAACCACATATGGACAATGAACATGATTGTTAACTTCTTTTCAGCTGTATCCAGTTACAAGGAAGTGAATCAGAATGATCTCGTGACTAGCCCATCCCTTTCATTTAAAGACATACACGTCTTCACAACTTTACAACGAAAGACATAAATGAAGAAATACTTCATTATAAAACTGTGAATTTACGTTGTGGAACGAAGGAATGAGTGCTGAAATATAGAAATAGTTGTTTTGGGTTATATTTGGTGAGTAAAATTTTATAAGACATTGATTTTAAAGCATTATTGTTTAGCTACTCGTTATATTGTATCACAGATTTTACAAACGTTTTTTTTTAAACTTTGAGATAAGTTTTTCAGTTGGCCGTTAATTTATTTAATTTTAAAGTTTTGTAACTTAATTTTTTACCTTTATTTTTCTTCGTTTTTAGTTTGAAGTTCAAATAAAGAGTTCACGATTAAAACCAAAGATTCGATCTCCATTAAAAGTAAGTCAAAGTATTTACAGCATTATATTCTATAGAAATTTCTTTTTTGAAAATGGCTTCACTACATGATAAACTGAAGATTGAGGCAAATGGATCTTGTTTAAGTAAACTTTTCATCAATAAAGGAACCCAAGCCTTAAAAACAATATTGCAATTAAATTTTAACAATTTATCGTCAAGTTTGACCAATGAACTTAATGATTCTTCTACAATGAGCAAATTGACCTTACTAAAAAAGGAAAAAGTCATCAATGAAATGCAATGGGATCTTTTTTATACATCAACTGGTTCACCAGACATTAAAAACTTTGACATCTCATTATTGACTGTCTTATTGCGTAGGATGCTGAATTTTTCTTTATAAACTGTAACTGACACTAGTGCCAGTCCTCAAGAATCGAAACAATATTGTTGTTAATGTAAACTTAGGAATTCGCAATCTATTACTACTTCTAACTCTTTATCGAAAATATAAGAATCATTGCGATCTGGATATAAACGGGAACAATCGGTAATGATACTTTACTTATATTCTGTTGTTTTGTTTGTTGTTTGTTCACTTTCTATCTAATTCTAAGTACATTTTTTGTATGTATCTAGTTGACATCTACTGTCAATAATACCAAATGTTGCGTGTTGGTGCCAGAACTTTTATGCTGCGGGAGTTATACAAACTATACTTGTCTATAGAAAAAATATGAACACATAAAAATTTATGTAGAGGGGGGGGTAACATGTCCAATTATGCATCACCTCCCTTCTTTGCCGAAGCCACTTTTGACTAAACTCTGTGTGTCTTAAAAAGGTTGATGATTGTATTGAACAAACAATTTATTTTGAAAGTAAGGAAATTAGCAAAATAAACAAATTTTACACGCAGGAAGAATGTATTTACACAGAGAAAGAACGCAATCGAATCTATTTTTTGTGAAATGTTGATTCATGCAACACAGTGAGCTTTTAAAATTATACTTTTAATCATGTTTGTTGAACAGTTTTAAGGTCTACTTTCATTGCAACTTTTACTGTTGTATCTACAGTGTTTTTATTGATCATAATTAATTATATTTGCGTGCAGTTGATGTTTGATATGTATTCATAATTTACAATGGCTTATTCAATAACAAAGGTTTTTTATAATATGAACTGACTTATGCAAGAATATACATGTATGGAATTTTTGACTAAGGAAGAGAAAAAATCCATTCACAGTTTCGAAACTCGTGTCTTAATCATTAGCATTCAAATCCTGTCTTAGATAGGTGATTCACTATTCCTGAGTTAAAACTTGTGAAACTTTATAAGACTTAGCAGTAGTCCTTTGGAATTTGACTAAGCTCAATGTTATCATGTACTCTGCATGAGATTCTTATTTATGTAATTTTATTTCTATAACAATTGTTTTTAGTCAGTGATGTATACTTAGTTATACAGCTAGAATTTTCTACATAGTTGTCATTAATGTTTTATAATACTGTTTGTTGAAGGAGATCCTGACTCACTCTTCATCTTCGTTCGTTATTTAAATGTGTTTATGTAACAAAACTCATATGGATAAGAAGTTGAGGTTTCAATAATGTATGAACTATGATCACCATTTTTTAACTGATATGTATGTAGTCGCGTTTTTTATATTAATTTTCCCATCTTTTGTTAGATACGTAACATGCAAAGAACTAAAGCAAGCATAATTTTGTCCACACGATCCTTGTATATGCAGCCCGATTTCTAAAACAAAGGTAACTTTACGTAAGTTAACTGAGATTTTGTATTTACATTTCTAACTTAGCAAATTTGATACCAAAGCATTGCGGAGTATGAAGTATGACTATAAAATAATCAATGTTTATTTCTATTCCAAATGAAAATCGTTTGAATGATTCTATAAGTGACTTTTAAAGCTATATTTAATACCACGACTGAAAAGTAGGTTTCATTTTTTGTTTCAAATTATCCACTATAAAAATGCGCTTAACATTCACAAATGCCACGTCATAACGTGACTTTTCTTTTTAAATATTATTAAACTTGAGTAAACAGTACAATGTACAAATGTAAAGTAAAGAATACGTTCCAGGGGTCAAAATGAACTCATGATAACGTATATATTTCATCATCAATCATTTTGCACGTAATTTATACTTAGATGAACTTTGATTTAGCATGTACACTGAGAAACTGAAATCATGATACTTGTTTTGTTTTCCAACGTGTCCAACTGTTTTAGTTACTTGAATTAAACCGTGTAACAACATAAAATCGAGAAATTTCACTGACTGTCAGGCCAGGCCAGCCGTGAGGTGATAGGCCCTTGCCTATCACCTCATTTTGCCTTGGGCCAGTAATATAATAGGGGACGGCGCCTCCCCATTTGGACACATGAAAATTGGAAAATTGGAGTTTATAGAAAAAGTAATGAATGACTTGTGTATTATTTGTACTTTTCTTACGTTATCTCATTATGCAGGAGACATTCATCAATTGTTAAGTTTTTAGAAATTCTCGTAGCATCTTCAAACGGAATCACGCTTTAAGTGTTATCAATATGAGCAGGCATGTGGCTAGATTGTAAAATTTGGGGAAACAACAACATTTTGGGGAAGAAGTTGTAGACGTCAAGTTATACTGTATTATAGCAAAAATATAATTTATCACTAGTTAGTTTTGTGGGTAGCCGCTGTGCATTCGCGGCTAACCACTATGCCATGTTGAAAAGTGTCTGAGTGAGGCAGTGAGGCAGGCAGTGTTTGTTCGTCGTGATATTCTCGGCTGTGTCATCGGTGATAGTCTCATATGTGAACGATCATGAATAGAATTGTTTTAAGTAAAGTCAATACTTATGTTGTTCTTTAATTACCTATGCGTTAGAGCGTATAATCTGCACTTTGTTTTAGTGACTATAGTCAAAACCTTGCAGCTGAAAGTATCATTCATTTATACGCTTTACTGGTGATTACAGACGTCAAATATATCTCGTTTGGGTAAAAAATACAAGGAACTTGATACTCTGTGCAGTCCGTACTTGTATTTTGTTCGGTATTTTATTCATATGTCGCGTTGTTTATCTCTCACCCTGTGTTCTGTGTTTTGGTGAGGAAAATGTAATGGAGGTAGAAGATAGTTTTCTTTATTTTCATTTCAATTAGTATTGATGACGATTTGGATTTAACAGATTGTCAAAAATAAATAAGAATTTAAATATTCGATTAGAGTCAAGCTATGGTTCTATGGGGGACTACTGCAGTTTAGCGGTCACTAGCGCTTTGGGTGTCCGCTAAGCTGCAGTCCAGCAAAAATTTAAATTGAAACAGAATGATCAGCAATATAATCCTTTCAAAATATTAATAAGCAAATATTCCTACAACAAAGCAAACCAGTTTGATTTATCCTGTTAAAAGAAAGACGTATCTCTTCACCACACGATTGTTAGACAAATAAGATATATTATCTATTAACTAGGAGTTACTATCGCAAGGGAGTTGCTTACCCCTCGCGCCGAGTATGCGAAAATATTATGATTTTTTGTGTTTTTTCATTGTATCAAGTCTACTATTTTTATGCCTTGATGTAAGATCAATTACTGGGTCATGTCACTAGGCAGTGAACACAATTTTTATCGAGAGAAAGAAATGAAGCACACAAGTCTTTATAAATGACTTGTAGTACTATTTTTAATTTATTCTTTTAACTTTTGTGAACATTTTGTACATTTTAAATTATACCTTTTTTCACAAACTCATTCCTCATTTCTAGAATAAAAAATGGCTACACCATCTAAAAAACTAAAGATTGAGGCAAATGGATCTCGTTTGAGTAAACTTTTAGTCAATAAAGGAACCCAAGCCTTACAAACAACATTTCAAATCATTATAAGCTTGCAATCATTAAACTTAAAAGATAAACTTAATGATGCTTTTAACAAAAGAAATTGGAATCATTAAAAGAGATAAAAGTCGTCAACGAAAAGCAATGGAACCTTCTTTACCCGTCAACTGGTTCACCTGACATTGAAAACTTTGATATTTCATTATTAACTGTCTTATTACGTAGCATATGTGGTCTAAAAGCGCCACGTGGTGGATGGGATGAGCCTTACTCTTCAGATACCTCACTCTCAGCAAACATTGCAAGAATAAAGTTATATCGAAACAAAGTGCACGGTCACATAACTGAAACTAGTGTAGATGACAGTAAGTTTGAGTACTTGTGGCAGGAAATTTCAAAAACATTGGTTGGTCTGGGTATTCAACAAACTGAAATAGATGAATTAAAGAAAGCTCCCCTCACTGCCGATGAAGCAAATAATATTGAAATGTTAAAAAACTGGTGTACTGTTGCTGAGAAAACAAAAGAAGTTGTGGAAGATATAAAAAATGACTTGGAGGAAATTAAAGAAATTGTGGCAACAAAAGCTGATGTAGCTGAAGTTACACAAGAAATGGCAACAAAAGCTGATGTAGCAGAAATGAAACAAGACATGGCAACCAAATCGGATTTAATAGAAGCAAGAGAAATGTTACGTGGAGAAACATGTTCGAATCTTGCAAAGTGTAATTTCAAAGGTCTTATGAAAGATCTTAACAAGAAATACCTTGAAGGCACTAGACAATGGATATTTGAAAAACTTGACACTTGGTTTAACGATAAAAGTGAAGATGCTTCTAATGTCATGATTTTGATTGCCGGTCCTGGTGTTGGTAAAAGTGTTTTTGCTGCTGAGGTGTGTCGACGATATTCTGAAAAGAAGAAACTTGCTGCTTCTCATTTCTGCAGATATAATCGATCAGACGAGAGGAATCCTCGAATGTTGATGGAATCATTGGCCTGTAGCATGTGTGATACAATATCAAATTTTAAAAGTAAACTGAATGAAGAATTACAGAGAAAACATTCCTACGAATCAGTCACCGATGCATTCCGTGTTTTATTAAATAATCCATTGCATTCATTTGAACATCATGAACCAATGCTTTTGGTTATTGATGCCTTAGATGAAAGCCAAGTTGATGGCAAAAGTGAATTGTTGGAATTGATTGCAGAAGAATTTGACCGACTGCCTAAATGGATTAAAATTTTCATCACGAGTCGTCCAGAACATCCTGTTCAAAAGGAGTTGAAAGACATGAATCCTGTGGAAATTACAACTCGTCCTCGTGATGAAAACAATGAAGAAGACCTGCACAAGTATTTGAGAATTCAGTTAAATAATGAGGTGCAAGAAGATCACTACGTTCTTCAGTTATTAGTTCAAAAATGTGAGGGATCATTTCTTTATGCGTATCACGCACAACTGAGATTGAGAGAAGAAAATATTGAGCTTACTTACGAAAACATTCAAGAATTAGTCCCTAGTGGGTTAAGCGGTGTCTACACAAAGCAATTCAAAAGAGTAAAAGAATTGTTAACGAAGAAAAGACCCGGAAATTCTGTTATCTCAGAAACTACTTTCATGCAATTTCTTGAATTGTTGGCTGCCTGTCGGGAGTTTTTACCATTAACTTTACTGTTTAGCTATTTAGGTTTTTTTGGTGACAACAAGTTTGAAGTCGGCAGTAAAATCATTGAACTGTTATCTCAAATTTTGCCAGTTTACGATGACTGTTTAACCGTGTATCACAAATCTCTAATTGATTGGTTGAAATCAGATGGTTACGAACAGCATGAGTTTACAGTTAATCCAAAAAATGGTCATAAGTTCTTATGGCATGCTTGTGAGAAAGAGTTAGAACAAATTAAGAAGATGAACATTTTTGAAGATCAGATAAACACTGCTATGATTAAATATGCTTTGGAGAATGGAATCTATCATATGTCAAAATGTGGCGAAAATGTTGACTTTAGTTGGGCAGTAGATGTCAAAGTTGTTTGTGCGAGGTTAATGTGTGTGGAAAGCAATAGATTTGAAATGTGTAAAATCATTGAGGAACTAGAAACTTTCTTGAGAAAAAATGTACTTGAGGAACAACTCTTTCATTTGTTTATTTTAAGGAGATATGAGTCAGATATGTTTGATTGTAGCTTAATTTATTTACAAATTGTTGCAAACGGAATTCATGGCAGTAACGACAAAAGATTATTGGCAAGGGATTTATTGAAACAAGGAAAGTTTGTTTCGTTTGAGGATTTAGACACAACATATTTAACAAACCGTCATCATTTGACTATCTCCATGCATGCTAACGTTACATCTCTTTGTATGTCGTCCAATGAAGAACTTCTTGCTGTAGGATATGAAAATGGTCAAATATCTATTTTTGAACTTCCTGAATTTACAGAAAGATGCACTCTCGGCACTGCACTCGATGATTCGAGGTTAGTTAAGTTGAATGTAGGTAGAATTATGTCTCGCTATGACATCTATGACGATGGAACTTTAAAGATATTTTGTTTTGCACAAGGAAACATATTTTGTTGCTCCTTTTCACCTACCTGTAATAGACTGGTAACTAGTGATGGATCTACTGAAGTAAAGTTGTGGGACGTTAACAATGGACGTTTGTTATTTTGTTTACAGTCAGATGATGTCGTTAATAGTTGCTCTTTCTCAGATTCTGGTTTGTTCATTACAGCAGAATATGTAAAGTATTACGATGAACTTCCTAAAGATGTGTTCACTGCATGGAGTTCATTAACTTTGCAAAGAATCGATCGACGCTGCGTTGTTGATTACCAAAAACTACAATGCACCGATAAATATTCAGAGTTCTTTGTTGCAGAATTCGTCAAGACTTCGTATATCTTTCAATTCCCAAAGGCAATCGATATTTTTCAAGAAAAATTACTATACACTACCTACATATAATGACAACACACCATTATCGTGATTGTATTTTTATCATACAAGCCAGAATGGAAAGCTTTCTGAAATCACTCAGTTGACAAAATACAACGATCAAGGAGAAATCGTGTTTTGTTTACCAAATTTTAGGTGTCCATGTGTTGATAGGAATCTTGACAAAGTCCATCCCATCTCGTTTAGAGAATTTTACGTTGTGCCGTATTTTTCCAAGCTTAAAATTTTCAAAACTGATCATCTTTGGAGACCTTCATTTATCTTTGAGAAATTTAAAATTGAATGTTGTTGTTTTTCACCGGATGGATCTTTTTTGGCTGCTTTCGCTGTTGGTGACCACGTCAACATTCATATTTGGAGCATTGAACGTTGCACTATTATTCAATCTGTACCAATGCAACTGAAGAATGCATTGGGATGTTGGTGGTCAGATGGCTTACTGTGGATTTGGGATGGTTCTGATCATTTTACGAAGATATCAACTTCGTCTGAAAATTTTGTAGATTCTACTCAAGCAAAGCAAGTTAACATTGGATTTAAACCTAAGAAAATCTTAACATTTGGTGATGTCTTAGTTTGTATTGACGAAGAAAAGTTTGTTCAAGTTGTTAGAATTAACAAAGGTGAGATACAATACAACAAAAGACTTCCTGTCAAGTGTTTTGAATTAAAAGCAGCAGCTGTATCACCTGATAATTCTGTTTTAACTGTAAACAAAACAGAATACACATTATGGAAATGGGGAAATAACAACAATGAACTTTACTTGAAACCTTGGCATACTGCAGAAATACACATGAGAATACCTTCATTTTGCAGCGATCCGATATCTGAAAATTGTCCTGATGTCAGTTGCTCTATTAGTGATAGTAACCAAGCGGTCATTGCATTTCACTTCTACAGTGACATCCTGAGCACTGGCATTTGTGTAATTAATGTGCATAAAAAGAATGACATGGGTACGATTTTCCATTGTATTGATAAATCAGAGTATCTACTTCTTGAAAGCACAATCGTACATAAATCATATTTAATTGGTGAATCTGAAGTCTCATTTGCTGGTAGCAGTTTGTTTGCTCTAGATTTAAACAGTGGTAAAGTATGCGCTAGATTTGAAGATATAAGTGATGTATTTTTTATAACTATGCATTACAACACAGGAACTTTAGCTTTAGTAACAAATGGTGGATGCGGAATTAAATTTTTAAAACTTAATGTTCCTGAATAAATCTAGTAACTCAACCTTTGTGGTTATATTAATCTATTGTATTTACGAACATTAAATATCACTTAAAACTAACATAAAAAGTTCTTTATATCACAAAAAGACAGTTATTTATGGTATCAACAGCGAACTCAAAAATATTGTAGAAGAAATTGTCCATATCCTTTGTTTTAACCGTGGAAAAACTGTATGTTTTTAATTATGTAAAAATATCACGGACAGAGAGAGATATTAGTTTTTTGTGATGTAAAGTAAAGATCTTTTTTGTCCTATGATTCCCGTCAACTTTCAAATTTATATTTGGAGAATTCAACACTATAACATTGTCAAAGCTGTGATGAAATTGAGAATATCACACGAAGATGTTGATTGTCGTAAGGATGGTAGCTTGTTTTACATGTGAAAATTACCAAGAGTGAGAAACCTTTGATCTCTGAACGAACACTATATTGATGGTTTACTTTTTAATACAAATGTATGGTCAGATAATTTGGTTATTTTTATTATACATTAAAGGTTCACTACATAGAAATGAAAGAATGTCGACAACTCATTCATTGTGAGTCTGACAATATGGTGTTGTTGTAGATGAAGATTATTTTGTTTAAATTATAGAGTGACTTTCTTTGGACATTCTTTCAAAAACTGTAAATAAACTTACGTTACGCATGTTAATATCGTGGAAACAAGTTTTGTATGATGTTAAAAATTCACATTTATAAAACACCATCATTATGTCATGTCATGTCATTCAATTTTATTGTCATTAGTTGAAAAATGTGAGAGATCATTTCTGTACGTTTATTATGTACATATGACCTTAACCCTTAAATACCCGGGGTGACATATATGTCACATGTCTTTTATTGTTTTAAAATATTTATTTTCTCTCTTTAATACCCAGTGTGACATATATGGCACTCTTGGCCGTCATATTAAATTATTAAACTCAATAAACGGGAGGGGGGGTTGTCAAACACTATATATTTCGATTTCAAAATGTTTGCCATCACGCTTCGAACATTGTATTGATGTCCTTGAGTTGTTCGCGGTAGAAATTGCACTTAAAGGGCAAAGCTATAACTTTTTAGCGGTTTCATATAAACAAGCTATAGTTAAGGTATAAAATATAGTTGAATACTGGCATTAAAATAAAAAATTTTCATCGTGGATTGCGTTTGAATTGAGACGTGCCAAATATGTCACATTGGTCATTTAAGTACCTTGAAAGGCATTATTGAAATGAAGTAGAAAAATTGCCATATTTTGTAATTATCATTTGTGGAGATATTATACATCTATGTATTCTCTGTAAATATTGTTATTACAAATTAAATAATATCTATTATCATTACAAATTAAATAATAATATTTTTTATAGCTTTTCTTAGTTCATTCAGTTGACAGTTTCATATGTAAGTATGCGAAGAAGTCGACAAGATTATGCAGTTAATGATCTACTAGAGTTAATCGACAAAAGTGATAGCGAGTTTGAATTCAGTGATGGGGATTCTGAAGACGAATACACTCTTGAAAATGACCTAGAGGTTGAAGACTGTAGTAATGATCAGCAAGGAGAAAATAGAAGTGATGAAAGTGACAGTGGAGATATTGACTATGTCCCTTTGGTTGAATTACAAAAACGGAAGAATTCCTCCAGCTCCACTCAAAAAAAAATATACATACAGATGGAAGAGCCATGGTTTTGATGCACCAGAAGTGCCTTTCCTTGGTGAGGAATACATAGTGCAAAATCCAGAGCCATCACCATTGGAATTTTTTCATCAATTTGTTTCAAGCGAGATGATTGAAAATATTTGTGAACAAACAAATATTTACAGTGTAGAGAAGGATGGTGCTTCTGTAGATACATCAGTCAATGAGCTGGAGAAATTAGTTGGCATGTATTTCCTCACGGGGTTGATTCAGCTTCCATCAGTGAAAGCTTATTGGGAAAGTGCCACTCGGTTTCCAGCTATTGCTGATGAAATGAGTCGGAATCGGTTCCAAAAGCTCCTTAGCTCACTTCATTTTGCTAACAACAATGAAGTTGCTGATGATAAAAAAAGATCGGATTTGGAAACTGCGACCGTGGCCGAATCAGCTGAAACTAAATTTTCTAGGAGTTACCCCAGAAGAGCACCAATCCATTGATGAGGTCATGGTAGCATTCAAAGGTAAACATGTCCTCGTGTGTACATGCCAAATAAACCAACCAAATGGGGCTACAAGTTATGGGCACGGGCTTCAACAAGTGGATTTATGCATGACTTTGAGGTCTATGAAGGGGCATCAGAAGCAACCGTTGATCGTTCAGATGTTGGTGTAAGCGGTGAGGTTGTATTGAAACTTGCATCAAGCTTATCTTCTGGTAAAAACCATAAGCTTTTTGCAAACAACTATTTCACTTCACTTCCCCTAGTTGAAAAGCTTCAGGAGAGAGGGATTCAATTCACTGGGACCATTCGTAACAACCGATTGAAAGGATGTCCACTAGTCTCTGAAAAAGACCTAAAATCAAAAGGCCGAGGATCATATGATATGAAAGTTTACTTAAACAAGAAAATTGTTGTTCTAAGATGGCTGGACAAAAAAGCTGTGACACTGATTTCAAGTTATTGTGGCGCACAGCCAATGGGAGTGGCCAAGAGATGGAGCAAAACAGAGAAGAAGTTTGTTGGCATTCCAAAACCCGAAATAGTTAATGAGTATAACAAATTCATGGGAGGGATTGATCTTATGGACATGCTCTCCTCTCTCTATCGATATTCGATCAGGTCCCGAAGATGGTATTTGTACATCTGGTACCACACCATGACAGTTGCCTTAGTCAACTCATGGCTTGTTTATCGCAAGCATCAGCAAAATGGTAAATTCATGAAGCTTAGCAAATTCCAAGCCTTGGTTGCAGAAGGTTTGTTAAAGGCTGGGAAAAGCAGGAAAAGAGTTTGTCCATCAGACACCAGATCTCCACCATTTAGAAAGCAACGCAAAACGTCAATAGATCGAAAGAATGGGTACAACTTTCCAGGCGCGAAGATCTGCGAAATAAAAATACCGAATACTTGTACAAAATTTGCCGGTTATGCTCCAAACACTTCGAAGACTGCATGTTTACTAATAGTCAAAAAAGGCGATTAAATCCTGCAGCAAAGCCCACGATTTTCGACATTCCAAACAAACCACCAACTGTAGGTCAAAATTGACGAATTCTACGAAGGACAACCACCGATATTGCCACTAAAGGTAATTCAATTATTTTTATTTTCTTAAGTCCTTTAGAGCATAATAATTTTTGTGCTGTGTTCTTTTTTTTCAGCCAAGAGACAGAAGCTGATAAGAAAATCGAAAGCAACTGAAGGTATGATAGAGAAATTCAAATTATATGACAATGCAAAAACTCTTGAAAACCGTCTACATTTTACGACGTGCTCTTTTTCCATTCATTTTCTCAAAATTACTTATTGTAAATTGTTTCTCTGGAATTATGCCTTAGCTTTATTTATGACAATGATATGAGGAAAACCCATCCTTGGAGATTGTTTTCAGTTTTTATGTTTTTCACACACTTTTTTTAAAATCTTATCACAATTGTTAACATTTTAACAACAGAAATATGTTCGTTGATAAATAGTTCAAGAAAGTGTTTGTGATAGCCCCGATCAAGAAATAATGGAAACTGACGATACAACGAGAAAGCAAGGTATATTTAATAATACATTTAAAATTAATTCTTCAACGTAACTCAAGACTAGTACGGTAGTAAAAGTATAAGTTTTGCACTAGATACAATAAATTAATCAAAGGACAAATTGTTTTTAGGTGAATTTTAAGGGCACCAAGAAAATTTGTCACGAACAAGAACATTAGATTTCTGTTGTCAAACCAGCACTAGCCTCACCAACAATACACCAAGGAAAAAAAAGCAAAAAATGGTGATCAGATCTAAACATGAAAAAATCAGAAATTGAACACAAAATTGAACAAGATAGTGAAGAACAAGGCAACACATCAACAAGTACTAGAAAATGCTCTCAAGAAACTACCTGATCATTTGGCAAATTTTGTAAGAACACAGATAAAGTTACATACAGCCAAGAAAAAAGGAAGACGATATTCACCTGAAATGAAATCCATTGCAATTTCTATGTACCATGCAAGTGGGAAAGCATATCGGCTGTTGTCGAAACTGTTTATTTTACCAAGCAAGACCTCTCTTCGAAATTACATATCTAGAGTACCAACAGAAACAGGGATATCACAGGCCACAGTCAATACTCTACAGCAGAAAGTTTCTCAGATGGATCCAATGGAAAGGTTGTGCACTCTTTGTATGGATGAGATTTCATTAAAGTGCCATCTACAATACAGCATTCCCAAAGATAAAGTCCTTGGTTTAGAAGATTTTGGTTCTGGATTCCGAACAAACAAGGTGGCAACTACTGCAATGGTTCTATTGACAAGAAGTATTTCTGGTAGGTGGAAACAGCCTCTTGGTTATGTGCTTGCCAATGGAGGATGCCCAACTGAAATTTTGGAAGATGTTCTTAAAGAAGCCCTAGACAAAATTGGAGCAAATTGGTCTAAATGTAGTGGTGGTAATATCCGACATGGGTTCCAATTTTCATAGTTTTGCCAACCATTTGGAAGTAACCCCTGACAAACCGTGGTTTACTTATAACAAAAGAACTTACCCTCACATGTTTGATCCCCCTCATCTAATGAAGTGTGTTCGAAACAACCTAATGAAATACACCTTTAAGTTTGATGGCCTTGCTGCTTCATAGAATGATATTGAACAATTTTATAACAAAGACAGTTCACTTCACACAAGGCTTGCACATAAATTAACGGACAAACACATCCACCCAAATAATTTTGACAAAATGAAAGTCAAATATGCCACTCAAGTTTAAGTTACACTGTGGCCGCAGAAATTTGTACATATGTGAGTATGGGTGGTCTTCCTTCCTCTGCAATGGGAACTTCAAAGTTTGTTTCCAAATTTTATTCTATTTTTGACTGTGTAAACAGTTCCATGTTGCAAACGAGTAAAAAACTTAGATGTGCCATCAATGAAAAATCATTCCACATTGAGTTTCTGAAGGAAAGCATTAATTTCATCAAAAAAATGAAAGTGTTCCAAGGGAATAAAGATGTCACTGGTAGAGTTAAGTGTCTGCATGGCTGGTTAGTGACACTTAAAGCCATCATCTCGATATGGGAAACATTACGATCAGTGCATCAGTTTAAGTTTCATTTTACCAGACGACTAAATACTGACCCACTAGAAAATTTTTTGGTACTATTCGTCGCCAGGGAGGCAATAGTGATAGCCCCACTCCAACCCAATTTATGCAAGCATTTAGAAAGCTTTTCTTCAGTTCCTTCTAACCTGTTCATCTGGAAATTGTGACAACGACCTTGATTCTATGCTGGTTGAGTATTCCAAAAATGTTGCAAAGAATAAAGTCAGCCAGAAGAAAACGGTTCAAGTCTTTCCACCTCCGCAACCACAAATTTTAGCAATTGGTCCTACTGACTACAAGGAGCCAAATGTTGTTACCAACATAATGAGGGAAAATGCCATTGCATATGTGCCTGGTTTTCTTCTAATGAAGAGTTTCAAACTCCACTCTCGTCTGAAATGCACCAATACTCTTTCATCTAAAGAACTGGATGATATCAGAAAGTTATTCTGCCACTTTAAAGCATTCGATGAAAAGAAATCTGATTTAGGAGGACTACAATCACCATCTTCTCCTTATCTGGAATACATCATCAAACTTGAAGACACATTTATTAAGACGTTTTCTGTCTACACAAAGAGCGAAGGTGTTGGTCGAAGTATATTAGACACTGTCAAGTCCATACCAAAGGAATTTGATTGCTCTACGGAATTGCCATTTGAGTTCTTGCAGAAACTTTTTGTACGAATGCGCATTTATTACGCCATAAAATTTGCGAACCGCATATTCGCAACAACTAAAAAGAAAGACAGAAAGTACATTAAAGTCACACACCTTTGAGGGCTTTGTGCATATAATTTTTGTCCTTTATAAAACTAAATTGAAAACAAAAGCTTTTATATCACAATAATATATTTAACATGTAATACATCCAAGTTCATTTAAGTCCTCAGGACTTGCGAACCTCAGAACCTGTTCAAGCTTTCCGACTGAATTTCGCTATAAATATATTAAATAAATGCATTTGTTAAATGATATATACAAAATACTTGCCTTTTATTTCAATTTCTTTCAAAAGATGCCAAAACAGCCAACAGCTCAAAAATCTACATTTTAACCCACTTTACGGCTTCCACTCCATATATTTTCATAGTAAATGTTGTACACTTTACTGGCCAGAGTAATGGCGGCCGTCACATTTCCGGTATGCGCGAAACAAACTGCGCGCCACGCTTACATCAAAGGTTACCGACGCGAGTTGCCCTTCTATATATTCTCTATTCTATGTTTGAACTGAAGAATTGAATTTTTTTGAGTAAAATTTTTTTGATTAAAATATTAAAGAATGATAAACTTCACTTTCTATTTTTATTTTTTAAAATATAATTTATCATTATAATGTTGATAATAATACAACGTACAATATATAGCTACAGTTCTAACTTGTAACAATTGTACACAACAATAAACGTTTTACTGATAATTTTGAAGATCCATGTGCTTTAAACACTTTAATGTAACAGAATTTTCAGGTTCTAAGTTAGTGTCATCTTATAAAAAACAGGTACGTATAGCGTACATTTTGTTGTCTTTTGATGACTAAGGTAAACATTGTAGTTTTTCAAAATAAACATGTTTCTGCATCACGTGATGTCATCTTCAGTATTAGTGACAATATTATGCATATGATACAACATATATGGTAGTAATGTGATACAGTGGTAGTTTATTTAAATATAAGTAGATTATACACAGTAAAATATTGACATGAATTAATGATAAATGTGTTTACAAGCTCTTCTCTAATTTAAAATTTTAAAATCTTAAGTTTTTAAGTTTTTCTTACTTTACAAGAGGGGAGAAATAACTAAGTTATAAAATTAGGGTAACCTCTCGAGCATGTGCAACCCTCAACCTTCAATCTCCGGCTTGCACTGATCTGCTTTTGAGTTCTCTCAAAATTCTTCTCGGTTTGCATAAGCCTGTTTAAAAACATGAAACATCTTTTCTTTCTTAATTGCATGATAATGTTACATTGAGGCTTCATTTGACAAAATTTAAGGCTTTGGCTGCGTTTACACTATACCAGATTTGCTCATCAAGATATCTTCATTTGGTTTCAAGTGGTAACAGTTTGGAGTAAATGCCTATTAAGTTGATAGATTTTAGTCAATTTAATTTTTGTTGTAATATTGTTTTGTTGTTATTGGTCTCCTGTGCCACTATCTGCGGTACTTTATGACCAGCGGTACTCACTCTTATGTTTATCCGCCATATTATTGTTTGTAGCATTTAAGTTGTTTTTTAAAGTTAAATAAAGCCTAAAGAATGGTAAATTACAACAAATATGTTTTTTGCATTTAACGATATCACTGACTTTTAATACATAGAAAATTTAACCTGCAACGCTAGCAATTCTTTACAGTAAACAGGGCCTTATTTTAGTTCACAAATATAAAGTTCGATGTTTGAAACAGGCAAACAATTTTGTTCAAAGACGTTAGAGGATTAATTATTGTATGTTTGAAAGGTCATATAAACCTCGAGCCAATAAAAATTAAAAATTCTATCATGATGTCAATTTCAGAAGTATTCGTATTTGTTTACTTTAACGTCAATCAAGTCGCTTTAACTTTATAGAGAGGAAATGTAAGTACTGTGTATTTACTGGCGAACAGGCGAAGTAAGAAATATATGGAAGAAATGAACAGGTCTTGTTAAAACCTTCGTAATGTGAAGGATTTTACTATTCGCGACTAAAATGGTCAAATCAAGAGTGGTAAATATGTTCAGAAAGGATGTCCATGACGTCTGTACTGTATTGGTTGAATATTGAGGTTACACCATAAATGGAATGATAAAAATTTATTAAAAGAACATTGTATAACATGTATGAACATTTATGTTGGACTATGAAAACTGACTACATTCTACAAAGATGAAAAGAGGAAAATGCAAAAGAGGAGAATGGAGAAACATGATCCAGGTTTTATAGTTCGTAAGTAGAGTAGACAAGTTTTAAATTTTGTTTGCATGTGTATGTGGTTATTATGAAGGATCACGGTGTTCTATTTTTACAATTTGAAGATAAATAAAAAATATCATGTTTAAACTAGGATTTTGTGATTAAATCTTTCAATTTTTTGTTGCCAATATAAGAGGCCAAGTGCTGCAAGTAAATAGTTGGTTTTCACTCGTTATTTTATTTAAATGCATACTAAAATATTTCAGTTTCTAAAGAAAAATTACAACACAATAGTCTATTTTAAAAAGCGTTCATTGAATTTCTGAGAGAAAAAATGTTGCTAAGTAATTGCACGAAGCATAAAAACTTATGTGATCAATAAAAAAGCAAGAGACACCAAGTAACCGGTGTCAGATTGGAAAAGAAAAGTTTTAAACTACGACGTTATTTGAAACTGAATCAAAGGTTTTACCAAAATCAAAGGAGACCACTCGAACAAAATCTGCATGCTCGTTCAACCTTTTTAACAAAAGATACCGACGTTTGTAACCCTTACAACTTAACTAGCATATATTACTAAAAGTAGTTAACAAAAACGGAAGATGCCTAATGAGAAATTAATTTAACCTAGTGCAGAGAAGCCTATACCTATTCAAACGAGCCTTTGTTAAAAGATATTATATCTTTTCTTACATAAAGTACGCCAAGTCAATGTTTCCTGTTTCTAGTTTGCTATTTGCATTTTTATTTGAGGGAGAAAGTTTTCCTTCTTGTTTCAATGTAATAAACCATATTTAATCATTTGTACTTTGCTTGAAGTTTTCTCTTATGCCAAAGAAGACAAGTACCTCCAAAGTTTGAACGCTTCTACCAAGGTATTTATATAAACAACTAATATTTGAAATACCATCGATCAATTTTCTATAAAAGCGATTGTGTTGAGTAGCGTAGTCAGTTCTCAAGTTTAGTCACCCTATGAAAATTTCGGAATTTTATGATCATTTATTTCTTTGAAAACCTTTTGTTTTCATTGAGAGTCTTTCACTGATCATCAGAAAGTTTAATAAAATCAATTGTGTTTTTTTAATGTACACCGTGAATGTTTAACGACATCAGAACTCAATTTTCTAAAGCTGTTCATCCGACATCACTATTCACACTTGTGAAACAGTGTGCAATTGACAGCATGATGAATAATGCTATGCATGTTAAGGACTTGACTGTAAATGATGCTGGAGAATGTGGGATTTCCATTGATGGCACCTGGCAGAAGCGAGGATACTCTTCACACAATGGTGTTGTCACGGTAATTTCCCTTGATACCAAGAAGTGCCTTGACATAGAAGTGCTTTCTGACAAGTGTCAGCAGTGTATCAAGTGGAGGAAGAAACAAAGTGATGCTAGATTTAAAGAATGGGAGGCAACTCATGTTTGTAAAATAAATCATACTGGGAGTTCTGGCAGCATGGAAACGGCAGGTGCACTGAGGATGTTTGAAAGGTCTTTTGCTACAAGAGGGCTGAAGTATAAACATATGCTTGGGGATGGTGATTCATCTACATATAATGCAGTCCTAGCAAGCAAACCATATAGAGAAGATTGTCTACCAAATAAATTGGAGTGCATTGGGCATGTGCAGAAAAGAGTGGGAAGTAGGTTGCGAAGACTCAAAAGTACTAGTAAAGGAAGAAAGCTTGCTGATGGGAAGGGTATGTCAGGTAAAGGTGGACTAACTGATGGCAAAATAGATGTGCTCCAAAATTATTATGGTCTGGCAATCAGAGAAAACCTTCACAGTGTTGAGGAAATGGCAAAGGCTGTGATGGCATCACTTTTTCATGTGGCATCAACAACGGAGAATCCACAGCATCACCTTTGTCCAAAAGGAATGGACAGTTGGTGTGGATATCAACTTGACAAGGATGGTTATAACCACAAGAATGGCCTTCCAAAGTCCATTGTTGATTTGTTAGAGCCTATTTTTGAGGATTTGGCCGACCCTACATTATTAAAGAAATGTCCACATGGTTTGACACAAAATCCAAATGAATGTTTGAATGGACTTATTTGGGATAGATGTCTGAAGACAATCTATGTTGAACATGAAACTGTGGCTCTTGCCACATATTTAGCTGTTTTGAAATTTAATGATAGAGACATTTCCTTCCTAAAGATATTTGAAGATTTGGACATAACACCAGGTTTCTTCACTTGCCAAGGTGTGCACATTTGTGACCAAGCTCGAATAAAGCTTTCAGCAAAAAAAAGCACTGAGAAGGTGAAGGGACAAAGAAAATCGCTAAGATATTATAGAAAAAAGTATTTAGACAAGGCTGAGGACAATGAAGGAGTTGCATATGAGTCAGGTAGCTTTTAAACCCTGTATAATGATATGAAAACTTTACTATAACTTTAACTTGACTTTTCTCTATTTCGTTATTTTTTGTGTCACCAATACTTGTGACACTGTAACTTTGTAAATATTTATTGTAGAAGCTTGATATTTTGTATATTTATTTAGTACAATATAATCTAGAAACTGACATTTTCAAATTTTATAATTTTCCTCATAGATGAATTATTTCTGCACTTTTTTCCGAAAAAATGGTGGGTTAAAACCCAAAATATCTGACAATTCAATAAATCGGCTGTTAAATTTTTATAAAAAAATTTGTAGAAAATTTAAAAATGTCATTCTCTAGCTCAGATTATTGGCTTTTTAAAAATGTATTATTTGTTTCATTGTGATGTCTTGTTCTTGAGATATCATGTTAATGCTGTTAGTTAATTATGGGCTAATTAATGGCCGCCATAATGGATAATTAGTGTAATTAGCAACTTCCTGAATTTTTTTTTGTGCACATCATTTTCTATCACCTTACTCATTCAGAAAATGTTATTTTCACTTTAAAATTTTAAAAATAAAAAAAGTTGCTATAGAGGGGGTGACCACCTTAATAAAAACTTAAACTGTGTTTGCATTAGCCTGTACAAACGTGCGTATCTGAGCTACATCAATTATATCAATCAAAGATAATTTGCAAATGAATCATGAATACATGTTAGATAATTTACAAGTTGTCTGTTTCGTATTACTATTATCTACAAAAGAACTAAGAGATGTTTTTTTGGTTTGTACAGCCTTATGCAAACCTTGAGACTTTAGTGAACTCTCTAGCTGGTGCAAACCATCAACTTTTGGTGTAAAGCTTGCACTGACATTGTCTCCAGTTCTACCAAATGTTTCTTCCGTTTGCTTAACCCTATACAACAATTAAGCATCTTTTATTTCCAAATCCCATCCTATATACAGTCTTCACAATCCTCTTGTTCTAATTTTCTTCGTGGGTGTACAAGAGGTGAGGTGTGACCTTTCCCTTACTAATTATCAATATACCAACAATTAAATTTTTGATTTTATCTTCCTGTCATCCATTAATATCCATTCATATTAGCCATTAATGTCATTTGTGTCCATTATTTGTGTCCATTAGTGCTTTTTTTTGTGTCGTTGATATATATTTAAATTACGACTGTGAATTGGCTTTGTCGAATATCTTTCAAAGATTGATCAATGATTTGTCTAAAGTTGCCCAAGGACGTCAAGCTATTGAATTAGGAGCGACATCAGTAAGTTGATGAATATGTTTCAAAATGTTTACTTCTCTACATTCTCTTGTTCATATCTATGCCACTCGAAAAGGATTGGAACGTAGTCTATTATTATGAAAAGGACTGGGACATAGTCTATCAACATGGAAAAACTGGAGCATACTCTAGCAACATGAAAAGGACTTAAACATGTCTCTAATATTTTGTGCTGATAATGTTAATTATAATACATCTTTTTATCACGTTTTTATATGAATAGTATCAATGTCGTCTTATTTTTATATGATTTTTCCAGGTTCAAGAACGCAGTATTCGTATCAAAGGTCTGGAATGTCTCGTTTCTATTCTTAAATGTATGGTAGAATGGAGCCGGGATCTTTACTTTAAACCTGATTTTCAGGTGGACGATAATTTTGGTAAGTTTTAACATCTTTATGAAATTAAAGAAACTCGCATGTAGCGAATATAAACTTAATATTGTTACACATTTCGATACGTTAGCGCTTTACGATCCATTGTGCCCCTCTTTTGATATCGGCTACACTGACGATTTTTGTCTCCATCAAGATTCCATCTTTCTATACTCTGTATCCCCTATTTAACCAAGTTACTCCATTATTTTCTTATACACACGTTAATATTCTTAATCGTAACTAGTTGTTCGACAATTGTAGTTAACCTCTCAGGATCTAAGTTATCCCTTAGTTATCTTACTTACCCTTGGTGGTCTCGCGGTGGATCAAGGCTATATCTTAATGTTTATAGTTACTCATTATTGACCCATGCTACCCTCAATGTTCTAGTCTATCTCTCAATAATCTATACTATCTTCCCTATCATCTAGGCTATCTTTTGATGATCTATGCTAACCTCTTAATGATCCATGCGATCCCTTATTGATCTCCAAATCATCATAGTTATTCCTCAATACTTCTGTTTAATCTCTTCCATATAAATTTCCTGACAGATCTGGTTGATGGTGCACCAACAATTTCTCGAAAAGGAAACATCGAGGAGAATGAAAACAGAGGGGAACCCGGTGATTTACAATCTCAAAAAACGGGGGTAGTCAGTCGTCTCTTAATAGTACAAAAGCCATCGATAATGCTGAAGAATTTGAGAGTCTTAAACAGAAGAAGGAGACGAAAGAAAAGGGAATTCAATTGTAAGTTTGGCCAACAATTTTGCTTCTCTTCTGTATTTTTATTCAATTTTACGATTTACTTTACGATTTAACAAGAATCCATCACAAGGTATAAAATTCCTTCAATCTGAAGGTCTCCTTGGTGAGACAGCAACCGAAGTCGCTCAGTTCTTACACACTGATGATACACTAGACAAGGTGATGATCATTTCAGTTTATCTATATCCCTTGCAATCCTTTTGTTTATGATACACTCGACAAAGAGATGATCATTTTACTCCATTTATATCCCTTGCAATCGTTTAGTTTATGATACACTTGACAAAATGACGATCATTTTAGACCATCTATCTCCCTTGCAATGCTTATGCTTCATTTCACATGATGTTGTCTTCTTTCACTAAAGTTTTCATTTTGTCACATTTGCACGCTATCTCTGAGGAATTTGTAGAAACATTAAATGTTGCTTTGGATTTTGACCCAGTGTGGCGTTTTATGGTTTTAGAGTATGATTGGCGAGCTGATTGGTGATCCAGGACAGTAAGTATGTTTTTTCACATCTCACTCGCGTGACAATCACGTGAAAATCACGTTAAGACGTTTGATTTTCATCTTAAGTATTTATTTCAACATAAATTGAGTCAAGAAAAGTTGATTATGTTAATTTGCCATGAAGCCCATGGATGGTTTGCTCATGATACATGAAATAGTAAATCAGAAAATTTAATCGTAAAATCAAGAATGTTTAAAATATGTTTAAGGTTGCATTAAACTCCGTGTAAAAGGACAAAAGCTGTTTGAAACTAAGCATTATCTTCAAATCTCTTGGTTATTTTGTCCATAAAAAACAAAACAATTTTTTAAATGCTCAAAATTTCTCTTTCCAGTGAATAATATTAACAGAATTCAGTAAGATTTGCTACTGTTCAAAATAAGCAAACAATAGTAGACTTAGATCTATTGTTCGTCATGTCCTCAACTGTTCGTCAAATCCTCAACTGTGCGTCATATCCTCAACTGTTCCTCATGTGTTCATATACTTCTTAGATATGAACGGGAGATAATGTACGCCTATAAAGATCAGTTGGATTTTACTGGTACCAATCTTGTGCAAGCTCTGCGATTGTTCTTACCTAAATTCCGGCTTCCCGGTGAAGCGCAAAAGATCGATCGACTCATGGAGAAGTTTGCGAGTAGGTTCTGTGAAACGAACCCAAAGTAAGGGCTTGATTTGTGACTTGTTATCTGTTGTTTTACATCTCGCGTTGCATGCTGGTTCGTGAAACTTACGAAATGACTTTTGTCTATGAACCATGTGTTAATTTTTTTTCATTTAACATCAACAATAATTTAGGACAGGTTTTTGACGATTTTTGGTTTTTTTTAAGTATTTTCTCATCGAACTTTTATTATTTGAGTTTTGAGGACTGCAATTTGCTGTTAGATAGATGTAAAGTGAGTTGTTTGAACCAGGGAGTATTGTTACATGTTTGTAGATGTAGATCGTCCAGGTTTGTAGAGTCCTGAGAAGGACTGTTGTTGTTGATGTTGACTGACGTTTCTACAACCTTACTCATGTACAAACATGTCTAGATATAGCTAGGTTAGACTGTCTACGATAAACTTTTTTTTATATTTATCATTTATATTTTAGTTACGATGTGTTTGCTAGTGCAGACGCTGCCTACGTTCTGGCTTATTCTATCATCATGTTGACTACTGATCTACATAGTTCACAGGTTACACAGACTTACTTCATTTGCAATGGTTTTCTATAAAAGTGGCTTTATGTCTATGATCACGTGACTCCATTGTGGTCACGCGAGATTTTCATGGCGTTGATATGGAGCCTTCATTGAAATCACGTGAAAAATTTGCCTTTAGATGCGAGATCGTAATCACGTGAAATTTTCTTTCAAGTTAAACGGAAGATAACAAAAGAGCAGTACATTCAAATGAATCGTGGTATAAATGACAGTAAAGATCTTCCATCTTAATATCTTGAAGCAATTTATGATGATATTGCACAGAATGAAATCAAGATGAAACATACACCAAAAGTGAACAGTAGATACGATGCTACATGTATGTATTGGAACATTAATACGAGAATCAAGGCTTAACTGAAAAAATTGTACAGATTCTAGGTTAAAGGTCTTGACTGCGAAATGTAGAGTCCTAGCTCTGAGATGAAGGTGAAGGTTTTGAGATGGAGATGTTGGTCTGGAGATGGGTGTATAATGGATATTGTGATGTTCGGTGTTGGTCTTAAGAGAGCTCCAATGCATTTTCATGAAACTAAAGAGATTTTTTATTGTGCTTCCACTTAACAGATTTACAAAGTGAGAAACATCGTCGTATGTTGTATTCTATGGAAATGGAGTAGATGGCGGAAAACGCCAAAACACAAATGGAAGACGTGAGTCATATTCAGACGGATTTTGTCACGGCGACACAGATTGGTCACGTGAAGACAATGTTCAAGGTACTGGGGTGGAGTCTGGAGGATAATGTTTGTGGTGTATGTAAGGATTGATTAACGAAGCGTTATTTGTGATGTCAACTTATACGGACAGTGCCAAGTACGGGGGGCGTAGATTCCAAAACATGATGACATTCATCTTAATCTTGTTAAAGAAAAGACTTAGATTTTATGTAATGAATGTTTGCGATGACGAAGAGTAAATATGTTTGATAATCTAATATTTTAGCTGACCAATGAATGATTTCACTGGATTTTGTATTGAGATAATCCACTACTAAATGAAGATATGATCTTCGCACTTTGCTGGACAATTTAAGCAATCGTCTCAGGACCTGAAAAAATCAGGTGACTCAACGGGATTCGAACCCTTGACCTCTGCGGTGCCGGTGCAGTAATCTGACCAACTGAGCTATGAAGTCACACAGTGGTGAGCAGGTCAATATTGTTGGGCTCATGTTTTCTCGTGAAAGGAATGTCGTATGAATATTTTATTCCTTTCACGAGAATTCCTTTCACGAGAAAACATGGCATTCCTTTCACGAGAAAACATGAGCCCAACAATATTGACCTGCTTGTGTTCAGCACTGCACCGGATGGTCGAATCTTCACTGATTTCAGTGTTTGCTAAATGTCAGCAAAGTGAAGATCTATCTTCATTTAATTTCAAACACCGCACTGCATAAAATATTCATAATCCACTACATTAGCTAAATCTACTTTTTACAACCCGCCCCAGTCCCCATTGTTGACCATTTTGTTTTGTGTGTTTAAGGTTGCATGGAGTCCGTTTCTTGCCGCGTTCAGCGTCTATCTACAAGACAACGACGATCCTTCTGTTGCTTAATTTTGTCTTGATGGAATCCGCTGTGCAATACGAATATCTTGCATATTCAGCATGCCTGTAAGTTGATAAACACACAACATTCTGTTTATTTTTATATATTTGGGTATGAAATAACGACATTAATGTCTCTGCATACCTTTTCATCCCTTGGTGACCCTTTCCCGGACATAAATATATATTCAAAAATATGTTGAATGTTGAATTGTTGAAATTTATGAATATATTTACGTAGTTACATACACGTCGTGTTCTTTGCGTGTTATATGTTCAAGGTTTAGATGATATTCATATGTATACAATAAAAACAGATGTTTGTTTACCTTTGAATTAATTGTCTGTTTGTGTACATATATGGATATATCAGGATGCATGTGAATGTGAAATAATCTTTACTTAAAAGTTTTTCAATGATTACAGTTAGTTATAATGATGTTAGGGAATATGAATGGAGATTCTTTACCATTAAGTTCATTTTTCGATACTCATAATAACTCTTTTCACATTGTAGTTGGAAAGAGATGCTTTTGTACAAGCGCTATCCAGGTTCATTTTACTTACTGCGACCAGTGGCACGCATATTCATGAAATGAAAACGAAGAACATCGAGACGATCAAGACACTTCTTACCATCGCTCAAACGGATGGTAATTGCATCGGGAAATCTTGGCTCGAGGTAGAGAGAATCATCTAGCTATACATTATGGTTGGTGTTTACGACTGAAAATATGATCGATTGTTTTTTTTCATCAAAGGAAAAAGTCTAGGTCTTGTCTGTAGTGAAAACTTCACGATATTGCTACAGTCTTTACTTTTCATTTTTCTAAGTGCTTTGTTGACCGTATTCCATACCATTCATCAGAGAATCGTATCACAAATGTACATCTGTAATAAATATGCATAAGAAAATAAGTTTTTTCTCAAGATATTTTTTATTTGAAGATATTTTCTACGTATGTATTTAACGTTTATGTTCGTCTTGTTGGACACTCGTTTTCGTTGCTCAAATGCTTGTTCCGCTCGGCGCATCTTTTTACGTTTCCCTAAAGTCATTGTTTTCATTCTAGATACTGAAATGCATTTCCCAACTTGAATTGGCTCAACTTATCGGTACTGGTGTGAAAACGCAATACCTTCACACGGCGTCCAGCGGTGTTACTAATTCACCCACAGCATTCACCGCAAACAACAAGACATCTTATGATATAACCTCAGGTTGCTTCTAACATTGTTGTGACGCTCGTAGAAAAATGTCAAATCCTAACGTTAGGTGCTTTTCTTTGCTTGTATTTCTATGAAGGTCGGATGCCTGTTGCCGCTGACTCGAAAAAAGCTGCCGGCTCACAGGAAACTATTGGGGAGACCGCTGCACAAAGTGTTGTCGTTGCAGTTGACAGGTAACGTTTACTTTAATGATAGCTATGTATTTTGTGACCTATCTCCCACCCCAGGGGCGAAGCTAGAACGTTAATGCAGGGGGAGAGGTGAATATTCATATATATGGTCATATATTCCACTGTGACCAACTAATTTCTTTTCAAATTAAAATAGCTTTTAAACCAAATCAGTCAGGCAAAACTAAATACATGAATATTCACCCCTACCATCCAGCGTTCTGGCTTCGCTATGTCCAAATCCCTATTATCCCAAATCCCAGAATCCAAATCCTAATTTTTACAAATCCCAAGTATCATTATCTCCTGTATCCAAATCTCAAAATGTTTTCGTTTTTCTCCTAAGTCGATTTCGTGGAAGGTTTACGTCAAGTCTCGGAAGTTGAGATTTCCAATCCTACAACGATACGTATGTTTAGTCTGCAGAAGATCGTAGAGATTACTTATTACAATATGGGTCGTATTCGGCTGCAATGGTTACGAATATGGGCTGTGTTGGGAGATCATTTTAACAAGGTTAGCGAGTATTAACGACTAAGATTGTATCTTGATATTATGGATAAAAATATCACGTTGTTATGATGTACTCAAGTATAGTAACAAGATAATCGTTGTCTCCAATATTCTATCAACTAAACTATCAGATCAACTGTGAACTATGATGATATTTCAAAACACAGTTCTAGTTTCTTTCATATCTCAAGTATAAAAACAAGATAATCAATTCCTTCATCTTCAATGTTCTACCAACTATGGTACTTCTCCATCTTAGATAATTTATGTGCCATTTTAGTGTGGTTGTAACCGTAATGAAGAAGTTGCGTTCTTCTGTGTCGACTCTTTGCGACAATTATCCATGAAATTCTTGGAAAAGGGCGAATTGCCAAATTTCCAATTTCAAAAGGATTCTCTCCGACCCTTTGAATACATAGTGAAGAAAAACAGGTAATTTTATGCAGGAGTCAATTCTGTCAGAAAATGTAAAGTTTCCTGCAGCTTGAAAATCTTTCTATCAAATAAACAAAATTTGTGGCAGACTTTGCAGATTCTTTTTTAAGTTGGAATTTTACGAAGGATTTTACAAAGGAAGTCTTTCAATCAATCGCTCTGTTTTGTCTGCTATTATTCGAAGGATTTGATTAAAATTCTTTCTTCTATATCTTTATAAACTTGGCAACAAGGACTGCAATTTTCAGTCTACGATTTGCTTGAATCAACAACTGGATTTTTCACATTTTAGTTCCTCCACAATTCGTGATATGGTCGTACGATGTGTCACACAAATGGTGCATTCGCAAGCCGCAAACATCAAATCTGCTTGGAAAAATGTTTTCTCCGTTTTTCATTTGGCTGCGTCCGATCATAATGAAGGAATCGTGGAACTCGCTTTTCAAACAACAGGTTTGTAGTTTAAGGAAGGAGCTTTTTCTTCTAATCTTACCACCGACCTGTCTGTTGTGCTCTTGAATTTGAATATCATTTAAGTAAATGTGTTTCTCGGATGTGACAGAGAACTTCGTTTATTTTGCAACAAGAATTTTATGTGTTCGTTCTTTTCCATGGTTATTCAGTCATATTCGTATAGGTTTTTGAGGTAAACGCCAAATTTGTTTCTGAAAATCCTTTGGTACGACCATTGCAAATCTACTTTCTTTTCACCTTTGAAATGATTTAAAAATTTGAAAAATCACATCAAAGCTAACCACTTTGGATCAAATGAAATCCAAATCATCTATTTCAATCGCTTTTTCGTGTAGCATTTTCTAATCGCGTTTGTTTTCTTCTCTTTTATAAACAGATGTTTAAAGACTACGGAGTAGAGGATGGTGGGCTATCAGAGGAGGACAGAATCTGGGTGAAAGGCTGGTTTCCAGTCCTTTTTGAGCTTTCGTGTATCATCAACCGATGTAAACTAGATGTCAGAACAAGGTATGGTGGAAATATTGAGTTGTATGTACTGTATAGATTAGTATGTATTGTATAATTTAATGTGATCTCCTTTCCATCCTTCAAATAGAGGCCTAAACGTGATGTTTGAAATCATGAAAACATACGGGAACACGTTTCTCCAACATTGGTGGCGTGATGTGTTTAAAGTCGTGTTTCGAATTTTCGACAACATGAAACTACCAGACAGACAGATGGATTGGCAGGAGGTTAGAAAACTGTCATTATTGTACTCTTATTTTATGGCAAGCGTCACTTCCGGCGAAATGTCGCGCTTTGATTGGCTCAGAAACATTTTTGCTGGTCCATTATTCTCCGAAAGGCGTAGTTTATAATGTGTCGTTATTGTGGTCTTATTGTCTATGATTGCCAGAAACACGCATTATATCGCAAAAAGCCAACTTACATACACGACTATCCAGTTCCACATGGAATAATATTCATTTCATGTGTTCACGTCTATCCACCTTCATTCCTCATTCACTCATCCATTTCAATTGTGTATCCACTCCATTGAACTAAAATACATGGAACGCTACCTGTAATAGAAAACCGTAGTAATTTTTTGAAGCCAAATTTTACACCCAGACACGCGTGTGTAGTTCAATCAATTTTCACTCCGCGAGAGAATCTCGAAACACTAAAGACGTGTCTGGGTGTAAGATTTGGCTTCAATTATTTGCTTCATGTAGCGTTCCATGTATTTTAGTTCAATGATCCCCATATCCTCTATTTCTTATTCACTTCTATCCACTTTCATTCTACAGTCACTTCATTCTGTATATCTACTCGTATTCACTTCATTCTCTATCCATTCTTATCCTCTTGCATTCCCTATTCACTTACCGATTTCATTTTGTGTAAACGATTTGTACCAGTATGGAAGGTTTGAAACACTCGTTTGTGAAAGTTACCCACCTGTAAAGAATGCTTTTGCCTTTAAATCAGGAGGGAGTAGAGTTAAACTGCGTGAAGGTCGTTTCCTTTACAAAGAATCAAGTCCGTGTATACGGTGTTGTATTTCCTCGTCATAAAATTAGACATCAGCTGTTTTGAAATATGTGATGTTTTTTTATAGAAATCAGAATGGATGACAACAACTTGTAATCACGCTCTATATGCTATCATCGATGTTTTTACTCAGTATTTTGATATTCTTTCTGAAATTCTTCTTGATGATATGTATGGCCATCTAGAGTGGTGTGTCAAAAAGGTAAGCTTGAAATTATTCAACGTGTTTGTGCTTGGCATTTGCCTTGGTGATTGGTTCGTTGTGTCAGAGTTTGTGATTGGTTTGAAGTATGAGAGTGTGTGATTGGTTTGAACTATGAGAGTTTGTGATTGGTTTGGTTTGAGGTACATTGGTATAAAAGAAGTATCAGAGTTTCTTACAGGTTCGACTGTAAATGCTTTGTAACACCATGTCTTGCTTTGCTCGTTCATTCAATACTTGTCTTTATATAACGAGCAGTTAGCGAGGTCTGGTACCAATTGTTTGGAATATTTCGTCATATCCAATGGCAACACGTTCTCCGAAAACGTTTGGGAAAAGACATGTCAATGTGTAAAGACGATATTTGAATCAACCGTACCTCACGAACTATTGAAATGGAGACCCGCTGACCAACAAGTAATGAGTCTACCCACACCCGATGTCACTCCTGCGTCATCACCACTCAAGGTAAGTTACACTTAGGGCCTGATTTTATGGAGGAGGGCTGGCCCGAATAGCGAGCTAGCCAGATGAATTCAAGGGATTGAAAAGAGCCAAAACTTCAAGGTTATAAATTACAATTGTTTGCGAAGCGCCACACGTCATTTCGGTTGTAATTCTTAAATTATGGCAAATTGGTTGTTTTAATTTTAAATGTTTTGCGTATTTATCAAATTAGAATATTGTGAAATTGCTTAAGAAGATTTATCTGATGATAAGTATTGAATCGTTTCCATTTACAAAAATGATTTAACGCTTGGCTGAATCCCGGCTACCGGGATCATGTAATCCGCCCTTTAGTATTTTTTATGATGTTTTAAAGCCCGACACTTTAAAATTTTAGACATACTTTCATAACTATTCTGTTTTTTTTTATGTATTTATTACCCTTGAAATTGACGTATATTGTAGATAATGTCACCTGTCGACCTGGAGGATGATATCGTGCCCAAATATCCGAAGATAAATAAAAAGTTTGTGAATTCTTTTAAAGGAAAATTTTTGCTTCAATTGTCTCCATGATTATAAGATTGGAAAATATTTCATGGTAAGCTAAAGCTCGCATATTAAAAAAGCTCATTTAAACCAAAAGCTCATATGAAGCAAAAGTTCGCATATTGCAATATAGCTCGTGTGAATCTTTAACTCGTATGGACCAACAGCTTGCATTCTTTGAGTAACAATTAAAAATTTTTCCGTATTATTTTTCAGATGAGGACGAACAAGATGGTCAGCAATCGTCAAAAAGTCTGAATGAAACGGAGGAGGAAATGCCTCAAGAAACAGTTGAAGAAACCAAAGAACAAGACAGCATTAGTTTACATAGTACGCCTAGTTTACGATTTGAACCTGTCGAAGAACACGAACCAGGTAACTATGTGTTAGAAATCAATTGAGATTAATAATTTGTTGTCACAGCTTGCTGCCATTTACGTGTTTAATTTACTTTGGTTTGTTGGAAAGGCGTAGCAAAACCTATAATTGATTTATGCGTTTGAAAATCTTCTAGTAAGATAAATTAACCCTTTATTTGGCATATTTTTGCTGACAAATGAAAAAATCGTTTGAGCGTGAATACGGAAATGTTCAACCAACACCCGAGTGACATTTTTTAATTTTTTCATGTATGTACTTTAACGTCGTAAAATCATCTCATTATTTTAGTTGTGAAGACTGAGAGGATGCTGTTCAATTCATTGATCATTAAGTGTGTCGTTCAATTGGAACTTATCCGAATGATCGACAATGTCGTCTTTTTCCCAAGCACCAGCAAGCGAGAAGATGAAGATACTACGGCTGAATTACAGGTCAGTTGTAATTACGGTCATTGTTGGTAATACTGAGATAAATCGTTTTGTCGTAATGTTTTTGTACCAGAGTTCCCCTTGGTGGCATAACAAAGTTCTTAGCTGAAGCACAGAATATGTAATATACAGAAAGGTCACTTGTGTCTAAACCTTTGATGTTTTTGTCCTCAAGCATATTGTGACGCGCATATCGACTGCCATTATTCTAGCAAGATATTTAGGGCTTTTCACTTGTTTCCAAACATTAAAATGAAACGACGTCATTTCTTATATTGAAATATTTTTAATTTCATTACGAAGAAATGACGTCATGTAATTGTAGGGGTTGGAAACAAATGAAAAACCCTAAATATATCTTGCTGGAATAATGGCGGCCATGAGGACGCTGTGCACACTTGAGTGGCCCTTCTGTATAATTATTATTCTGTGGTTGTAGGGGTGGGGTGGTCACAAATTCATATATGCATCTCTTAATCTGTAAAGAACAATTGATTTCACTGGAAGTTAATACAGCAAAACATGAATATGTGAACCTCCCTATTTATCGAGTTCACAACTGGTTCCTCCTTCTTTAGACACGTAAAAGTTTCAATAACTTTCCTCAAGAGACTTTATAGAATAAACTTTTTCCTTGGGTTGAATTCCTTAAAGTTCCTTATGTGTTGTATGCAGGCTTGTAAGATCCTCTTTCACCTGACTGGTCAAACTGATTCTCTAAATCACCTGCAATTGTGTAATAAATCCTCTTTCACCTGATTGGTCAAACTGATTCGCAAAATCGCCGGCATTGGTGTAAAAATAGCCAAATTGCACGAGTGCTATCTTGATAAATACACTATTATATACATAATGGAAGTCGGACTATTTAGTTAAAAAATATCCATTTGAATACCATATGTAGCTACAACCGTGTTTTTCCAGAGAGTGATTGTCAACCATAATCCAATCAAATGCGCTCTTTGAGGGTTTTGCATCTTGGTTTTTGACGTTTATTTACCCAGAGCTGAACTTTCATACAATTTCATGTTTTGACATTGTTATAAGTAGCAACGATACACTGTAGTCAGAGTTGTTTACTTTCAATAATCGTACATGTCTCATTATGATTGGTGACTTAGTTTTTCATCGTTTCAGTGTCTCAACACTCCTCGACGAACCGCTAAACGAAAACACGACGGACTGTTTCCACATCTAACCTCTAACCAGCTGTTTTTGTTGTGGGAAGTGCTGGAGAACTCGTATGAGTTTGCTAAAAGCTTCAATTGTAACAACGAGCTGAAGACGGCGCTTTGGAAAGCTGGTAAACGTTTCATTAATATATTGTAGCATTTGACACGAGCGACACATTTTTGTACAGTTTCTATTTGAATTGAAAATTAATACACGAGTAAAAACATCACATTCAAAACGTTCAAGCAAAAAGGCAAATTTGTGGCTGTCTTTCCTATTAGAGCACCCACTCCAAAAGCTGTGCATGTCTGTATACCTAGACAGCCACATGCAGCGTGACCAAGTTTCTTTACCAGATTTGGTCGTATGAGCTTAAACTCTCCTCCCCCCCTTTTCTTAATGTTGCATCTACATAAAAGAGGTGGGAAATTCTAAGGTCATTAGACCAAGTCTTGTGAAAGTAAAAAACATTTGCTTTTATGGTTACACTGCACGCATAGTTTTTTCTGATAAATAAAGATTGAGGACACACAAGTGATGATGATGATGATGATGAAACTTCATTAAAAGAGGGTAAACACGTGACACAACAAGTGTGAAAAAACTTGTGGCCCTCAAACTAACAAACTACGAGATTAATTACAATTTAAAAACCAGAATTACACAAGACTAAAAATACTAAAAAACTAAATAAAAGATTATTCTATGAGCATATCTGAATTATTTTTATCATAAAGTTTCTTTTTAGAAAGTGTAGCTGATGAAAGTTTACGCATAGTAAGAGGTAGACTGTTCCAAAATCGACTTGCAGTAGCAGCAAAAGATCGCCCACCATCATTTTGTCTCTTCATTTTGGGTAAACAAATAGTTAAGTCTTTATAACGAGTATTTCTATTGTGGCGACTGGCATTTGTTGGTAGAATATCATTAATATAAGATGGACAGTTACCATAGAAACGTTTATGACAAATCATGGCCTTTCTAATTTCCACTTCCTTACTAAAAGGTATCCAGCCCAATTTGGAAAAGAGTGGAATACTTCTATCGCGTGTTGAGGCATCTAGAATTACGCGAGCTGCTCTCTTTTTGTAATTTTGTAATTTGATCCAAGTTATCTTTTGTTGTATTTGACCAAACACAGCTACCAAACATCATAGCAGATTTAATAGTGGCATTATAAAACGCAATGCGTTCATCCAATGGTAGATAATATCTTAACTTTTTAAGAAGGCCAATTCGTTTGGCTAATTTGGAACATAGCTTATCAATATGATTTGAAAAACTTAGGTCTTCATCTAAAATGATTCCCAGAAGCTTCTGGTGGGAAACCTGCTCTAACATATTCCCATTAATATGAACACACAATAATGTAGATGAATTTACCAGTTTCTTTGCAATTCTTTTTTTCCAGTGATAAGCATAGTTTTTGATTTTGTAGAGCTAAGCACCATTAAATTTTTATTTGCCCACGAGTTCAAATTAGTTGTATCCTCTTGTAATATGCGTTCAATAGAGGAAACATCTGAGTAATGATTAGATTTAATAAGAGTGGTATCGTCAGCAAAAATATTCGTTGAGGCGTTTTTTATTGATTTAGGCAAATCATTAATAAATATGATAAACAACAGGGGGCCCAAGACTGAACCCTGTGGTATACCACGATCAATAATAGTTGTAGCAGAGGAGACGCCATTCACTGACACGTATTGATACCTGTTTGACAAATATGAGTTGAACCATTTGATGGAATCAGTACTAAGACCACAGGCTTTAAGTTTACCCAAAAGTAGTTTATGATTCACCATATCAAATGATTTTTTAAAATCACCAAACAGCAAGCCACTAGTATTGTCATTATCAAGATCAGATAATATCTGATCAACAATTTTAATAAGAGCCGTTTCAGTAGAATAGCCATTCCTAAAGCCAGATTGAAGAACATAAAACATGTCGTTGGATTGAAATTCGCGAACCAAACAATTATATACATGACGTTCAAGAACTTTGTAAATTATCGGTAGCGTAGAAATAGGTCGATAATTATCTGGATCTGTAGCATTTCCATTTTAAACAGGGGAAAAACTTTGGCTGTTTTCCATGACTGTGGAAATTGACACGAAGTAATACAATGATTGAAAAGCTTTGACAACGACGATGAAATAATTGGGGCAGCAGTCTTCAAGATCTTTACACTAATATTGTCTGGACCATTTGCTTTTGATGAGGGAATATCTTGAATTATTTGAATAACCTGCTCAGCACTTATTTCAGGAATATCTAAACTCAAATTGCCAAAAGATAAAAAATCGTTATCATTTATAACAGTGGTATCATCTAAAAGATTAGAAGCCACATTTGCAAAGTGCAGATTAAACGCTTCAGCAATTTCTTTGTTATGATAGAAAAGAGATCCATTAAATAACAATTCCTTCACTTGAACGGGATCATTTGTATCACCAGAAAGAGATTTTAGTATTTTCCAAAGCTTCTTAGGATTTTTACGATTTTCAATAAGAGATGACTTGAAATAGACTTGTTTGGCTTTAAATACTGAATGATTTATTTTATTTTTAATTTTTCTAATTGACTCCCAGTCTTCATGGGAACGAGAGGATTTCGCTTTTTTGAGAAGCATATCTCTTTTTCTCATCATTGAAGATATATCCTCAGTAAGCCATTTAGACTTATTCACCTTTTTAATGCGCTTAGAAATTAATGGGGCATGTTGATCAAGTATATTATTGAAGAGAGAGTACCGCATAATTACAATATCCTCAATATCATCGAAGATAAATGATGTATCCCAAGGAACATTTTGCAAAGAACTCCGAAATTTTTCATCATCAAAGTTTCTCATATCGCGATAAGTCTAACAGTATGCGTTTGCATAAATTTCCCACAGGATTTTTTAAAACGACGCAAGCAACATACAGGTAAATGATCAGAAATAAAGATATCAGCAGTCGAGCAATGAGATAAAAATTCGGGTCTATTTGACCAAATATGATCGAGTAGTTTACCACCGATTGGACGTGTAGCATCGATAATATGTTGTTGAAAAGATAAGGATAACAAATGCTTAACCAAGCGATGATGCTTTGATTAAGTGTCAAGATAATCGATATTAAAGTCCCCAAGGATTAACGTTTCTTTACCGTGCATGGAAGCATTTTCGATATTCATACCCAATTGAACATTGTAATTTTTGTCGGAGTTTGGTGGGCGATAAATGCCACCTATAATGAGACTTCTCTTCGACTTAAATGGGCACAATTCCATCATTAAAACTTCCAACTCGATTGTTTCCAAGTCATGTCTTCTTTTAGCAATTAAATCACGATTAACATATATAGCAATACCACCACCATTCAAAGTTTTCGAAGTACTATTCCGATTCCTTATATATAAGTCAAAGCCAGGTATATTAAACAATTCAGTAGAGGTTTGCGAATTCCAAAACGTTTCATTTATAATCAAAATATCCAGACGTTTCTCGTTATAGTCATGGCTAAGGATTTCAATTTGCACTTGTTCAAACTTTGTTTCATTCAAACGGTTTATATTCCATTGGCCTATCCGAAGGCCACGACTTTGTAGACTAAAACAACTATTTCCTTGCGGGGAAGACACAAGATTTTGTGCAGGAACCGGACCTGGATTTAAATGAATGTCGCCATCCAATGCCAGTAATAAATAGCGATGAAGCAAAGATAATATTACAGACGCCATTGCTTGTTTAGACTTCACCACAATTGCACAGCCAAATTGAAAGTTACTTGATTTACTTGATTTGTTCGGCGTAAGCAGCGACACTTTATTCTTCATATTTATAAAACAGGTTTGAGAATGCGATTTTGCCACATAAAAATAGTTTAAACAACGATCACTACTGTTATCCAGTATTTGATGAATAAAAATATCTTTAAAAATTAAACACCAAATCAAAATAAATAAAACTGAGGTGTAACTACACGAAACACGTCTAGTCGCCATATTGGAGATACATTGTTTCTGCTAGGATATATCTATTGGACAAACAGTGAAATGCTTAAATTGCTCAGTGCAGATTCCAATGAATTCAATCCGGAATCATATGAAAACTTGAGGCAGTTCAATGAAGAAGATAGATTAATATCATGATGAACATCGACATTTAAAAGTTCTTTTGCGTTTGAGATTAACTACAGAACAGCCTCTTCAAGCTCAAATACTTCAGCAAATCGCAACGTAGTATGGTAAAGAGAATCAATACGAAAAACGCAAAAAATCCCGATCTGGACTTCCTTCGAGGTCAGCAATACAACCCAAAATAGAGTTGCGAAGGAGACTTACAAAGTATAACCTGTCTGCCATGTTTTAGGGTTGTAGACCATTGAGTTCTATAAAACCTGGAGGGGAAATGTCAAAGTGCTGAAGAACATTCATCTGATGATAAGTATTAAATCTTTTCCATTTGCCAAAATCATTTAACGCTTGGCTGAATCCCGGCTACCCGGGATCATGTAAACAGCCCCTAAATTTTCTCCTATTGTAACTGAACACCTGTATATATATATATACAAACCGTACGTCCTGTGTCCCAAGTGCAGGAGTCACCATTTTAATATGGTGATAGCCGTGATGGCACATTGTATATACACTTTGTTTATATAAAAACTATGTATATATATGTACAATTAACTGGCAACTTGTAACTATGTCATTTTTTCTGATGATGTTTTTAAATAAAACCAAAATATTGCCGCGTAATTGTTTGTTTTATAACTTTGTGGTTACATTATGAGTTACACTAGGTTACACTATTTGAGGTTACAAGATGCCTTTTACGGATTATGCTTATTTTTAACTTTTTGGCTCCAATCAGTTTTATATGTCTCTTTCAACTATTTTATCATATATATAGTTGTCCAAACTCTTAGGCTCCATATTCAGGTCATTTATGTCTTAAGAGCTGGAGCTGCTAGTACAAACATATTTAGTGTTTGTATTCGATAAAAATGGCACAGGTTTTAGCCACACTAACTTTTTCCTCCTCTCTTAGCTTATGGACAGACCTTTTGTGTTCACTATTCAATAAAACACGATTCAATTAGCAAAATTTTCATTTTGTGGCAACTTATTAAAGTGCCATAGTCACGTTTGCTGCTGTGGAGGTTTCAAATTGACGTAAGTTTCTATGAAGGAAACAAATGTTTCCGCTTGGTGTACTTTGCAAGATTTGCCGATGTTCAATTAAGAAATAAAAGATGTTTATTGTGGAAATATTAAAACCGAGGAGACCTTTGGGAGTACTCGAAAGCAGATCAGGCAAAAACATCTTTACATTTCTTTTATAAAATAACAATAATGTAAAAAAAATAAATTCAAAGCAAAGGTTTTAATATTTCCTATAACATGTATTCATGATTGATTAGCAAATACTCTTTGATGGATTTAATTGATGAGGCTCAGCTATCAACCAATTAACGCAGGCGTTTTATTGTTTTTATTTTTATTTTATATAATGCAAATTGAAGTTGTCAGTTGTCATTCGGGGAAGAAAAGAATACGAACTTGATTTATTTCTTCCACTATTATATTAAAGTGAAATGAATAAGGAGTGTTTCGAGGAGAACACACTGAAAACTAAGATGGAAACCATGTTGACGTAATTTCTTATTATAGAATATAGGATTTTTAGATGAATTTTCAGGCTTGCGATAGCTATTTCTTGTGGAAACGACCGCATGTAGTGATCCTGACATTACGAATAATTTATCTATGTAAAAGTTTTATCGTAACTTGACATTCATCACTTGCAGACTATTAGAGAGGACATAAATTCGAGAGCTTAGATCAAATGGGTGAACTACAAATGTAAAAACAGCTGCCCATTTACTGAAATTCACTGTTTTAATTAAAAAATTCTTGCATGGTAGCAACAGTTGGTGGTAGCATAACTAATCATTTGCCATTAAATAAGATTCGTTCAATTTCATCAACATTCTTTCTATCTTAGCAACCTCCAGTGTTTGGCTGCGACTCTACGTCTGCTACGATAAGGAGCTTCACAAATTCTAAAAGCAATCGCATTGAAACAGATAGCATCACCTTTCTCGAGAATTTTACGGTATATTGGCAAATTTCTGATTTGAACAAGCTCTTCACTCCTCTCGACACAGGTATGCCTGATTTAAACGAATTTTGCCATATATAGTAGAGAAGTTTGTTCAAAGAACAAATTTTTTTAATTGTTTGGTTTCTGATGTCTGATAAAATGACTAACAAAGCGTTCAAAAATATACTGGCGATATTGCAAAAGTGATTCTTGTTGCTCTTATGATAGCTACTAAGTTCGTCTATTCTCACAGGATATGATTCGCACCGTTTTAAATGTCACTATTTTTAGACATGGGATTTCTTGAGAAAACTGCTGTGATGTGAGTCATAACAGGTCCCTGTTAGTGTTATATATTTTCTATCAACCGAAACTTGTACTTAACCTTCTAAGGGCCATATGTAGTGAAATACATCATAATATAACTACTCAATGCGGTCTACGTTAAAGAACTCGAGATTGACAAACTTTTAGGCGGACACACATACTGTGTGTAGCATCGTTTTATGACTCTCTTGTGGCCAGATGTTTTCTCAATTAAGTTTCGTTTCGTAGTTATTGCTCGCGCAAGTAATGGCCTTTAAAGACAGTTTTTCATTACGGTCGCTTCGCCCACGAGTGTGAAATCTGTTTTATGAGAGCGTTGGCCGCCCGCTGGATTTTATTTCCATTATTTTCGCCAGAGATGGCGGGAAATTTAAGCAAAACATGGCGGCTCTAAATAATCGACGACGACTTTTTCTGCTAATTCTTTTAAGACGAAGATTAAGAAAACAAAAATACAAGAAAAGATTTTGGGTAAGGAATATATTACAATAAAGGAAAGAAAAAGGAGAATGCCATACTCTAGTTGAAGAAGCTATGCTATATGACAAAGAATTTTTTTTCGTTTGTTTCGTATGACTCTTTTCAAGTTTGAAGAATTACTGACCTTGGTTGCACCAAAAATAACACGCTGGCATGCAAGAAGAGAAGCTATTGGACCTGAAGAAAGGCTTTGCGTCACTTTAAAATATTTGGAGATGCCTTTAGAACTATTGCAGCAATTTACCGTTTAAGTGATACTGTTGTGGGACGAATTATAGGGGAGACTTGTAAAGCTTTGTGGAATGTTATGGCAAAAAATGTTCTTTTATCTGTTCCGAGTTCGTATAAAGAAAGACTTTGAGAGAAGGTGGAATTTCCCGAACTGCGTTGGAGCGATTGACTGTAAGCATATCATTATCCAGTGTCCTTCACGAGCATGATCTATGTTTTTTAACTACAAGACGTTCCACAGTTTTATCCTGATGGCATTTGTGAATAAAAAATATCAATTTACGATAGTTGATGTAGGCGACTATGGACGTCTAAGTGACGGTAGCGTTTTTCAAGTAGCCAACTTGGTATTGCTATGGAACAGAACAAATGAAACCTTCCACACTCAAGACTGCTACCTGGGACCAATATTAGTGTACCATATGTGTTTGTTGGAGACGTTGCTTTCCCTCTTAAAAATTATTTAATGAAACCCTATCCTAGGTAGAGATCCAGATCCCCGAGAGAATTGCAAATTACAGGTTCTCCCGTGCAAGAAGAATTGTAGAAAATGCCTTTGGCACTGCCACCTCACGATTCAGACTTTTCAGACGAGCAATTACGGCAGATGCCGACGTTGCAGTGCAAGCTACAAAAGCAATTGTAGCTCTTCATAACTACCTTATGGCTGACAGGTGTATTCCAAGTAATCCATATTGTCCACCTGACTTAATTGACCGTGACTGCAATGGTTCACTTAGACTAGGTGGGTGGAGAAGAGAGAATGTCAATAATGGCGGAATTCAGGATGTAACACATATTTGATCCAATAACTATTCAATGCCATCAAAAAATATCAGAGACTGTTTTAGAGATTATTTCAACTCAACAATAGGTTCTGTGCCATGGCAAGTATGGGAAACTATTGAAAACTTGAGGGCAGTTCAATGAAGAAGATGGATAAATATCATGATGAACATCGAAATTTAAAAGTTCTTTTGCGTTTGAGATTAACTGCAGAACAGCCTCTTCAAGCTCGAATACTTCAGCAAATCGCAACGTAGTATGGTAAAGAGAATCAATACGAAAAACGCAAGAATCCCGATCTGGACTTCCTTCGAGGTCAGCAATACAACTCAAAATAGAGTTGCGAAGGAGACTTACAATGTATAACCTGTCTGCCATGTTTTAGGGTTGTAGACATGTAGGTAAAACAATTGGTTTATTTTGTTTTCATTATTACCGCATCAAGAAAATAAATTATAAATAAATTATAATGTGATTGAGTAAAATTTGATGTTTTGCGAATCACTAATAATGTTACGTCATCATAATGGAATGTTCAACAACAAAATGAGTTTTAACAGAAATTGTACAGGAAAAAAATTCGATTATGAAATTCCAGAATGGAATATGATCAAGACAAAATGCACATTGCAAAGGAAAAAATGCGCATTAGTAATTGAAAATATAGCTATTAATTTCGGGAGATCACCCTCCATAAGTTTGTGATAGAGCTTTTTGTTATCTTATCTTTATAAAAACAAGTCCTGTCCAAGTTTCCACATCATTGCCTAAAATAGAAAATGAGTTGATGTAACTAAATTTCTCACGCACAATTCACAACGACACGATGTCCTTTGGCGTAATTTTATTTATTATAATTATCCGACAGCCGATAAATTTATATATAAAGCCGTCAATGTGTCCGTGAAAATGCAAAGCCATACCCATACGGCTTCAGTTTATCTTACCCGTCGGCTTCAGTTTATCTTACCAGGTGTATTTAGGGCGTGGATTCAAATACTTTCTTCTTATTAGTCTGTTTCCTCGTCGAGGTCTCGCTGCTTCAAGGTCGATTTCTTTAAGCATAGTTTGAAATGTCAAATAACGTACTAGCACGTTATACTTACATTGCAAAAGCCTCCAAATAGCTCTATATCCAAGTATAATACCGCATTCATTGAGTTCTCGTAAAATATATTGTCTGATACGATCTTCATTAACAACATTCCTGCGTCAACGCAACACGTACAGTTTCAACTTATTTAAAAGAGCACTACTTGAATTAGAAATGCTATGGAATTTATCGAGTAAACTCAAAATAGTTTACTTCTGGTTGCGTTCGTGTATTTCTGTTTGTGTTGTGCTTCTGCGCATGCATAAAATAACCTTTTATAAAGTTAAGTAATGGAAGCTGTTGTTTGTATGCAGTAAACGACCGTAGAATGTTGAAATTTAGCAAATATGGAAGGACGTTTGAAAACGTGAGACTCTATCGTTAGAGATTAGACTTTAAATTGGTATTGGTGAAACATAGTGTGTCTTTGTCGTAGAGTCGTAGTGCAACACTTTGTTACTAACCAATGCTAACTCACGGTTACGTATTAGCAACAATGACATGGATGTTAGTAACGTTAGTATCGTCAAGTTTTAAAAAAGTAACAACTATTTAATTTATGCACGCCGCATGATCAATTACTAACGTGTGATGAATAAGTTAGTGGTCAAGAACTACTTGTAAAAGAGTTTGTATGCACTTCGTTTACCAGAAGTAATTTCAACTTGAAGGTGTAAAATGACAACGACAAACAACATGATACATGTGCCAATTCTTTAATCAAGGACGAAAATCCTAAAATCGACACCCCACTAAAATTGCAATGTCAACATAGTTTTAACTTTCAAAAACAAAAAGAAATGACTTTTGTAAAGTTCTTGACATGTTTAGAAGGTTCACTTTAGGGGTGGTCATGGGAGGAAAAACTTTGCATAACATCAATATTTACTGAGAAAATTACTATGTACCATCTCAAGTCAAATATAAAGTTTGCATAAACTAACCAATATTCTAGTGGTGCCACTCCATTGAATTTTTCGTGCCACGCATATCTTATTACGCATGTGATTACCATATTGGCAGCCTTTAAATTTCATTGTGTGAAAAATAGGATTGACAATATGGCAAACGGCAGCCAGTAAACTAACAGCCTGTTCACATGAACCCTGTAACAGGGACTCAGCGAGGCGTAAAATGATTTTAAGTCATTAAAAAGAGTTAAAGCTTTAAGCGCAAAGGAAGAATAGCATGGTTGTATTTTTTACATTAAGGACGCTGAATTTTTTTTATAAATTATAATTGCGTGTAGTTGATGTTTGCCATATATTTATAATTTACAATGGTTTATTCAAAAACAAAGGTTTTTTATAATAAGAACTGACTTATGAAATGAAAATTCATTTAGAGTATCAAAAATCGTGTCTTAATCATTGACATTCAAATCCTGTCTTAGATAGGTGATTCTCTATTCCTGAGTTAAAACTTGTGAAACTTTCTAAGATATAGCAGCAGTCCTTTGGAATTTGACTAATCTCAATGTTATTATGTACTCTGCATGAGGTTCTTATTTATGTATTTTTATTTCTATAACACTTGTTTTTGTCAGTGATGTATATTTAGTTATAGAATAATACTGTTTGTTAAAGAAGATCCTGACTAACTCTTCATCTTCGTTCGTTATTGAAATGTGTTTATGTAACAAAACTCATATGGATAAAAAGTTGATTCTTCAATAATGTATGAATTAATTATGATCACCATTTTTTAACTGATATGTAGTCGCGTTTTTATATTAAATTTCTCATCTTTTGTTAGGTACGTAACATGTAAAGAACTAAAGCAAGCATAATTTTGTCCACACGATCGTCGTATATGAAGTCTTATTTTTAAAACGAAGGTAATTTTACGTAAGTTAACCGAGATTTTGTATTTACATTTCTAACTTAGCAAATTTGATACCAAAGCATTGCGTAATATGAAGTATGACTATAAACAAATCAATGTTATTTCCATTCCAAATGAAAATCGTTTGAATGATTCTATAAGTGACTTTTAAAGCTATATTTAATACCACGACTGGAAAGTATGTTTCATTTTTGTTTCAAATTATCCACTATAAAAATTGCCGTTCTTACACGAAGAAAAGGTTTGATAATAAATAGTTCTGAGTCAGTGATGCGGTTGACATTTTACTGATGCTATGTCATAATGAGTAGTATAGAGACCACCGGTTCTGACGCATTTCACCCCCTGAGAGTCTTCATACCCAAATCTAAGCTCCCCAGCCCTAGTTCTCTTACACAGTACGAAGTACTGTGTATACATGGGTCCCGACAAAAAATCGCACCGGTCCTGGGGCACTTCCCCAGCCCTAGCTCGCGTACGTGGTTCACATACATAATAAGCACACAGTAAGCACATAGGTCGGCACAAAAATCGCACCGGATAAGCAAAGACGAAACTCAGGACAACTGCAGGAGCCAACGACGGGCGGCCCATCCCCAGTGTCCGCGCAACCGGCCGTCGGGTGTCTATTATTTATTTAGACATAAATTCTCACATATTGTATATCCAAAAATTCGAAAGCTATGAGGCAGGGCAAGAACAAGTGTGCGTGGTTATTATCCGGAATGCTCACCACATGTGGACAAAGCTGCATGGGTGAAAACTGCGGATTTCATATGAGGCGGTTATGGGAAGGCAAGCGACTTCCACAACCATGTCGTAAGTGTGGGGTCGGAACACAAGCAGAAAGTATCCTTTGTAAAGCCTGCAGTGCGAATAGGGTGCAGCATATGTTTTTTTATAAACAAAAACAAGCAAGAAAAACGTTTGCTTGCGTACTCGCCGATTTAATTTCGACATTTAGAATTAATTTTGATTTAGAAAAATTTCTCCCCTAATGCATACCAACGAGATTTGCAACACTCGAGATGGATACTGTTAATAAACTTCTGCAACTATATGACCAAGGTGTAATCAGCGGACACGCGCTGAACGCCTCTCTTAAGGCTCTTCAACCACCCGCCGCCTCAACACCCACGCCAAGAAATGTCACTCCGCCAATCTCCAAACCGCGCAAGCGCAGCCCCGTCAAGTCTACCAATGATGAAATTGATGCATACATCGACGAGCTTCTTGCTGAAATGTCATTGAGGCGCAGACCACAACGTCCCACAAGGGCTCCTCCCCCACCACCCACGGAAGTTAAGTGGAATGAAACGAAGGTCTTCAGCTATCATCTAAGATCCTGGAAAATTCAGGTGCCGAAAGGGCACCCTCCGAACGCGACTTGATGGCTTTCCTCAAAAGCGCCCAAACCAACATCGAACACAAACTTGTCGAGGAGCTATTAGCTCTACGAGGAGTTAAGTTCCAGTTGGCTGTTGAGGTTGAGCATCGGAAGGATGAAGCAAATGGTACTGAAGTGGTTCAAGCACCAGTGTTCCGGACAAAGCAGATCACGCTGCTACAGGAGCATGAGATTCCGCAACCCCTACATGAAGCCTTCCAAACTATCCCTGAGAGATTGGAAAATTCACTCGGGAAGGGTATGGGTGGGTAGTGGATCGTGTCAAAACACTCTAGCTTGACATCGCTAACTACCAGCCTTTATGCGAAGGCTCATACCTTCGTTTCTCCAACCCAGTCAAGAATAAGAAGACGATCGTCAACGTGAAAAACAAAGACGACGACCGCCCCCGCTGGTCTCTAAGGACAGGGCTGTTTCTTGCAGCTAAAGACCCGCAACAACCGGCCAAGTATCCCACTGAAGACGGCCTTGACTTTGTGGGGGTGTGCGCACCCACACCGCTCTCCCAGCTCGAACGAGTAGAGCGTCAGAACGACCTTGCTATCAACGTGTATGGTTGGGAAGGCGGCGTCGTTCCTTGCCGTCTAAGCAAAGTAGAGAGAGCTCACAAGATTGTGAATCTCTTCCTCGTCTCGGATTCGAAAAATCATGAGAAACACCACAACACTTGGATCAAGGACTTCAACTGCCTTCTCAACCGGGAATCGAAGGATACCCACCGGCTGCACTTCTGTGAACGTTGCCTTCACGGCTTCACCAGACAGGATTTGCTTGAAGAGCATAAGCCTGAATGTCGAGGCTTCAACCAGGCCGCGGTTGCCATCAGAATGCAACCCCGGAAAAATGACAAAATCAGCTTTGAGCACTACCACAAGCAGCTCAAAGCGCCCTTCATAATCTACGCCGACTTCGAGAGTCTGGTTCGCAAAATCGAGGACCGCGCGCTTAACCCCAACAAGAGTTACACCCAGCAAACCTCCCGACACGAGGAATACGGCTACTCGTACATAGTCGCTCATTCCGACGGGGAAACGCAGCCGCCGCAGCTCCACCGATGGCCTGACGGGACCAAGCATTTCCTGGATGCGATCCAAGAAGAGGAGCGTAAGATCAA